CAGCCACTTATAAACCAACTGAACGCTATCTTGGGGGCATCCTGCAACACATCGAATTCCAATACAATCACAGGGGTTGGTAACTGTCCCATTTTGGGAATATTGGACATCACCTTATAGTAGCCATTATAGACCATATACCTAATGGTTGGGTGATGTTCAATGGGGACATTTAATGACCCATGAATCATGATACCCTCTGGTTTCATCAGGCTGGAAAATCTCCGTGGCCTAGCCATGGAGGTGGAGTTCGCTGAGAAACTCCCTTAAAACTGGCAGTTTCCATGAATTCACTATCAATCTCCGAACTCAACGGAGGTTTCTAGCCGGGAGAATCAACTATAAATGGATCATGTTCATTGATTTCCATCAACAATTGAGGGGTTTCAATAGGAACATCATGATCAATCCATATAGATCCATATAAATCCATATAGATCCACCATTCATAGATGATTTTCGCATGAAAAAACAATCTGCTGGATTTTTCCAGCAGCCACCTAGCCGCCAATTTGGACAGATCTTAGGTGTGGTCCTTTGAACTCAAGGCCCTAGAGGTGGCTCCCGGATTATGGCACGGATTTTTTGGGGAAGTTTCAGGATCCAGCAAAACATCCTGAAATTTAAGGGGTAAACAGAAAACATCAATTGACCGTTTCTGACAGTTTCATGTCCTAGAATTTAGCCTCTGGTTATTCAATGATATTCAATTAGTAGCTAACTGGAACATCACCATCTAAAAAACATGTAAGTACGAATAAATCATCTAGAAATGGGCAAAATAACTAGAGGGTAGGTCCCAAAAAATCTGCCATGGTGCCTAGCCAAGATGAAGACTCCGCAGACTTCTGCTGCTTGAATCGGTGTTGAATGACTCCATAGTGCCCAGGACTAGGACACAACATTTTATTTACCCTCTGGCAATTGAACAAGAATAGCTATTGAACATGGCACATTTGTAGTTGATTTACCTTTTAAAGATGGTGATTTGCCAGTTCGCTATGTTAGTTTACCAGAGGGTGGGATAATACTCCAACATAATACATAATCGAAGTTGGGAAGCAATCTTCTGAGCTGCGGGCAACGTGTGGTCTGGAACCCAAAATGAAAAACATCTTCAGAAAAGCATTCAACGGAGAAACACATGCTACACACGATAAAATAAAGAATACAAGCCAACAGACAACAGAAAAAGAAGAGAAAGGAGAGAAAAACAAAGAGATAAAATACATAAAGCAAACAGAACAAGAAACAATAAATAAGAAAAGAACAGAAAAAACAGGACAGAAAAGAAAGAAAATAACAACAAACAAGAAAGACAGAAAATACTTAAAAGGCAACACACAAGAAAGCAAAGGAAGAGAAGAAAGACAAGAACGAAAAGAAAGAATAGAAATAAAAGAAATAAAACACAGAACATTAACAGAAAATAAGGGAACATCATACAAAATAAGTAAAAATAAACACAAAAGAGAGAAAAGTAAAGAACAACAAAAACTAAACACAGACAAAAGAAAATTAAAAAGTACAGAACTCAAAACCAATAAATGAACATGAGAAAAAATAGCACCAAAAAGAAACACATAGAGAAAGAGAGAAAAAGAGACAACCGGTTGTGGTTGAGAGTAGCCCTATGGATTTGCAATTGCGGCTTTTAGGTTATGACAATGACATTGAAGCAATACTATTTATGAAAATAGTCAGCTGCAAGGGTCAGCCCCACGGATAGCTCATCGAAACATACAGACATAGCACTCCAGGCATCTTGTTTAGGCAACGGCTGGCCCTTTTTATCTATTTGAATCAATTCCTGCATCTTTTGAACAGACCCAGTGTCATGGGGCAGTTGACATTGGCACCATGTCAAGCTTCTCAAACTTGAGTGCCCCGAAATTGATCTGTCATCATATGTTTCAATGAACTTTGCTCATAGACATTCACCGTCGTGCGAAAAGGAATATACATTATATATATATAATTATATATACATGTATATATCAGGGTCAAGGTTTCAACGGCCCAGCAAGGAGATTTCATGAGCAAGAGTTAAGAAGAACTTCGAAGAGATGAGCAAGGTTGAGCAGTGCTCAGATGAGATGAACATAGTTGAGAAGAACGAGATGAGGTGAGAAGAGCTGAGATGAGCTGAGATGAGGTGAGAAGAGCTCAGATGAGATGAGATGAAGTGTGGAGTGTGAAGTGTAAGTGCCAAGTATGAAGTGTGGCGTGGGAAAAGTGCAGTGTGAAGTGTGAAGTGTGGAGTTTCAAGTGGGACATTTGGAACAGCGCACCACTTTCGCATCAAACAGACACGCACAACTGCTCGCACGCTAGTTCTACAGATGAAAAAAGTCTTATAGTATAACATAGTATCACCCTAAGGCAACTTCCGTCCCGCGTGCGGGTACGACTGGTAATACTCATCATTCGATTTTGTTACTTCTTCGCATTGTGCATATTGATACTGACCAGAGGCAGCATGAATCCGCGGTGGGGCTCCGGTCATTTGCGTGGGAAAGTTATCGAACTGCTGGTGAACATTGATGATGATATACTGTTTGGTGGTTGGGAAAACCATGGGAAAACCATGGGAAAATGGTGATTTCTGTTGTAATAATGGCTGGTTGGTGGTTTGGAACCATGGAATTTTGAATGACTTTCCATATATTGGGAATATCATCATCCCAACTGACGAACTCCATCATTTTTCAGAGGGGTAGGTATATCACCAACCAGATTCTGAAGCGGATGATTCCTGGATCCACAATGTCGCTGGCCTGTGCTGGGCATCCGAGATGGCAGCTGATCTTTCTGGATCTGCACCGGGGCTAGGGCCCCCGTTCGATAGCTAAATAGGTGCAAATAACTCCAATAACTATGGTTTATGATACTTATAACATCTTATAACTATAGTTAACGGGCTTTATAAGCCAATTTCTATATTGCGGGGCCCCACATCAAGTAGGAATATGTAGAAATTTGTTTTCCACACGTCACATTTCTTGTTTGGCCAAGTCGTCCTTTTGGAGACTGGGCGCCACCATCGGACTATCACAAGGTCTTTAGTAGTCTTTAGCATTGGAATCCACTCGGAAAATAACTTTCATCAGTCTGGGTGAATTTTATGAGAATCAACATACCCTCCGGTAATTTAACATAGCTATTGAAAATGGCCATTTATAGTGGATTTTCCCATAAAAAATAGTGATTTTCCATAGTTTTTTGTATGTTTACCAGAGGGTATATCATAAGATATCACAATCTTGAGAATCTCACGAAAGTCACTTGCCTATCATGGTTTTCTTATATGGGGAATCACAGCAAATCACAGCGAGATTTCCGTGACCGATTTCGACCGATGTTCCACCTGGGTGTTTTTTTGGCAGGCGAGGTTTGGGAATGCTGTGACGAAATCCCAGGTGCGCTCGGTGGGGCACGTGCGAGCTGGCTGGAGGGCTTCAAGCGCTGCTTGATATGTCTTGATTTTTGAGACCTCTGATTTGGACACATTCAAAATGTATCAAAATAGAAAATACATCAACATAAATATGTTTTATTTGGAGACATCCTTTCCTTGTAGAAAATGTGTTTTTATTTAAAATTCAAGTTGCAAGGTGATACCAGACTTTGAAGCAGGGATCAGATGAATCCAACTGAAGGGGAAAACTTTCAGACTGCTGGCATAATCCCACAAGATGTACTGTATGAGGAGATGCGCCCGCTTAATGATTTCTATTGGCAATCAGCGGATTCCTCCGTTTTTTCTGTGTTTCGTGAGGGTGTGAACAATTGTGTGTCACATATTATGTATTGCCGATTTCTATACATATGTAAATTATATGTATATATAATTATATAATCATATATACATGTATATGTGACACATGTATATATATATACATAGATATATAGATATAGATATAAAAATATACACATTTCCCTATTTATTGATATATATATATACACTATATGTACGAACATGGTGAAGGTTGCCATATTTTCCAGACCATCCGTGGGATGACCATCATTGTCATATGATGGGATAATTATTGGGATAACTGGAATATCCATTATGTCAACTATTTTTAATATTTATGTTAATCGCCATGTTTTTAAGGGATAATATGGTTATATTTTTTTGAAAAATATGATGATTGGGATTTGTTCAAGGCTATTTATAATAACATTATATAACCATGATTACAAACGATATGACTATACAATGATGACATTGCATTTTTCTTCATTTTCAATCGCCATTGACCGCGAAACACGCGGCGTGGGGGAAATCTTTGGGCCTCCGAAATCCGAAACGGCCGAGCTTTTGCTGAAGGCTTCAAGCCCAAGTTTTCGAGAAGTTGCCCTCTAATGGTGATTTACCTATTAACGGTGATTAATGGTGATTACTGGTAATTTATGGTGATTGATGGTGATTTACCCTCTGGTAATTTAACATAGCTATTGAACATCACCATGTTTAGTAGGTAAATAATATATAAATGGGCCATTTTCAATAGCTATGTTAAATTACCAGGGGATAATGACTAAGAGTCTGCCATGAAAGCTACTGTGGAAGAAATCGTGCAGTTTTCTGCTACATAAATGTTGGTAACTATGACTTTAAGTCATGTGATTATAACGGGATAAACCTACAAACTGGTGCAGGATTTTCTTTCATCCACAGTATTACGGTCCTCTGGTCCATCTGGTTCGATGATTTACCGTTTTTACACGTGGTGATTTTCCATAGTGACCCCATTCATCCCCATAAAGTCGCATCGTTTTCCCCTTACACATGAGTGAAACATGTGATTTTTGTTGAGATCCCATTCATCACCATAAAATCCCATGATATTTACCCTCTGGTAAACTAACATAACTATGGAAAATCACCATGTTTCATGGGAAAACTCAATATAAATGGCCATTTTCAATGGCTATGTAACAAATTACCAGAGGGTACCAATTTGTGTGCAACAAGTCACCAGGCCGGAGGGGCAATGGCCAGCATTGAGGCGAGCTTGCTGGCGAGCAATGGAAACTCCTGTGTGAAGATTTTCCAGCTTTCCATGGACAGGGGAGGATAGTATTGGCACAATGAATTGGGGATTCAGAATGAACAGAAAATCTGATTCCTGATAGTATTGGCCGTTCATGTTTACATGGCTGAGAAATGCTGAGAATATCAGAATATTAAGATCCTGGTTGGTGGTTTGGAACATGAATTTTATGACTTTTCATGTATTGGGAATATTAACCCCAACTGACTTTCGCATATTTTTCAGAGGGGTAGGTCAACCACCAACCAGAAAATCTGATTCCTGATGGATATGAATCCAGCCATGTGGTCGACTATCCCGAAGGCTTCGCCTGTGAGCAATGTAGCTATGGAAAATCTTAAAAATTATTGATTATATAGTATAGATGTAGCTATGGTAAATCGATGTAAATCATCATTTTCGTCAATCAATGGGCTACATCTATAGTATATAATCATATATAATCCATATAAGCTATGTGAAATAACCAGAGGGAATGACATCTGTCGTGTTTTGCAAAGGTCCCAATGATCAGACCGTCCCAATGGGGTTAAATAATTATGTTCCCTATTAGAGTGGCTAGTTTGAGGATATAGAAAATGGGATGCCCCAGTTACTCCAGTTTCAGACACACCCCGTCCTGATATGTTTTGGCCAAAGATTCCCATGATAGATGTCCCATTTCTCATCACCGTTTTTGTTTGATGAAATTTTGATGAAATCAACATGTTTCATGCTTAAGTCACAACTTTTTCGGGTGATATAAATCACAATTGCTGGTTGAATCAGAACTTTTTCAATGCTGAAATCACCAGGTAGACCTGTCGCACGTGCTGCAGAAGCCGAAAGGCCCGGCCAAGTCTCCCTGGGACTCCCCAAAAGTAGAGGGATCCGGAATCGACGTTGACTTGATCCAAGCTCGGGACATCCGGATCATTGATTCATGTTGGTAAAACGATGCCATTTGCACCCTCCAGTCAGCATTTTTATAGGCATGGAAAACCGCATGGTTACCACCATTCCCAGTCATGGGAGGTTTATGATTGTTTTAACCACATGATACATCTTTGGTATAATTCCTGATGATTGACAGATATGTCGACAGTAAAGATTGAAGTCCTAGGTTTCGAGTTGAATATGGTCCAGAAGGGGTGGGTGATTGAAATCCTTGTGGGGATATCCGAAAATTGTTGGGAAAATAGGCTGTATAGATAGGGAAAATGCGAAATCCCCGCGTTCATGGTTAAATGTTTGTAATATGTTGGAATTAACTATGATCAAGGTGAGGGCATTCGTAGTGCGTAGTAGTGCTGCATGCTGGGCAGTTTCATTCGACCGGTCGGCCAGAAATTGCATTGCACGCGGGTTCGGGTACACGCGCGCACCCTGAAAAGCGTCAAAGCCGCCATGGAACGCGCAAGCCGCAAAGCCGCAAAGCCGCAAAGCCGTCATGGAACGCGCAAGCCGCAAAGCCGCAAAGCCGCAAAGCCGCAAAGCTGCAAAGCCGCAAAGCCGCAAAGCCGCAAAGTTGCCATGGAACGCGCAAGCCGCAAAGCCGCAAAGCCGCAAAGCCGAAAGCCGCAAAGCCGCCGAGCCGCAAGCTCTGCGACTCATGCGCCGCCTCCTGCGTTCATCGCCGCTGCGTTGCCACCGCCATGGATCGCTGAAGCCGCAAAGCCGCAAAGCCGCAAAGCCGCAAGCTCTGAGACGCAGGCGCCGTCTCCTGTGTTCATCGCCGCTGTGTTGCCAGAGCGTCAAGAAGCGTCAAAGAGCCGCAAAGCGCCAAGGCGTCGAAGCACCACGAAGCGTCAAAGCGGCAAAGCTTCAAGAAGCGCCAAAGCGTCAAGAAGCGTCAAAGCTTCAAGAAGCGGCACAGCGCCGAAGCGTCAAAGAGCCGCCAACGAAAGGCTGGCTGTGCTTAGAAGGGGACGGGCTTGCTTACGGAAAGAGGTCTGCAACCAAAGGCTGGCTGTGTTTAGAAGGGGACGGGCTTGCATATTGCGAGACAATTCGTAGCGAATTCCGAAGAACAATGGCAGATGTTATGGCAACCCCCAAAAGATTGAAACGTAGCATTCGACTAAACGAATGGCAATTTTCCTTCCTATTTGGTTGAAAGATATTATCTACAATGTCCCCCCCGGTGTGATAGACAGTCCCGGCCTATGCGACACAGACCTTGCAAAAACAACTTTAAACAAGAACAAGAACAGCAACAACAACCACAACCACAACAACCACAACCACAACAACCACAACCACAACCACAACAACAACCACAGCCACAACCACAACCACAACCAACAACAACAACAACAACAACAACAACACCAACAACAACCCCACCACCACCAACAACAACAACAAGAACAAAAACAAAAACAATAGCAATAACAGGAACAAAAACAAAAACAATAACAAGAACAAGAACAACAACAACAACAGCAACAACAACAACAACAGCAACAGCAACAGCAACAGCAACAACAACAACAACAACAGCAAGAGCAACAGCAACAGCAACAACAAGAACAACAACAAGAAGAAGAGAAGAAGAAGAAGAAACAGAAGAAGGAGAAGAGGAATAAAAAGAACAAGACAAAGAACAAGAGCGAATAGAACAAGGAGAACAATGAGAACAAGATGGAGAACAAGATGAAGAACAAGAACAAGAACTACAACAAGAACAAAAACAAGAAACAGAACAAGATCAAGAACAAGAAGAAGAAGAACACAACCACAAGAACAAATCTAAGAACAAGAACCACAACACCAACAACAAGAAGTCCTTAACTTTCGATCATCCTTGATGCTACGCTGCAAGATCTTGCCCTTGATTTTCGAACAACTTTGATGCTACGCTGTCAGATCACAGCCTGATCTTGCAATCATCTGGGGTGCTACCGTGTAAACATTTTGTCCTTATCTTGCAAATCTTTGTTGCTACAAAGTAAGATCTTGTCCTTAGCCTTCAAGCATGTTGGATGCTACGCTCCAAGATTCTGTCTGTCTTGTCCCTAACCCTCAAACATGTTGGATGATACGCTGTAAGTTCTTGTCCTTAACGGGCAAGAACCAGAACAAAAACAAAAACCACAATCACAAGAACAATATCAAGAGCAATAACCACAACATAAACAACAGTAACAACAACAACAACACCACCAACAACAACACCACCACCACCACCACCAACAACAACAACAACAACAAGAACAAGAACAACAACAAGAACAAAAACAATAGCAATAACAGGAACAAAAACAAAAACAATAACAAGAACAAGAACAACAACAACAGCAACAACAACAACAACAACAATCATAGTAACAAGAATAAGAAGTTCCAATAAAAAACAAGAGCACAAACAACAATAACAACTTTAATAACAAGAACAAAAACAAAAACCAGAACAAGAGAAATAATAGCAAGTTCTTGGAAGATCTGGATGCTACCCAAGAAGATCTTGTACTGAATTTTCAATCATCTTGTATGATTTTGGTTGCTATGGAGTAAGACTTTATTTATCCTTTACATTGAATCATCTTGAGTGTTACGGTGTAAGATCGTGCCCTTGACATTCAATCATCTTGGACGCTACGCTCGAAGCGCTTGTCCTTAACTTTGAACATCTTGGGTGATATGCTCTAAAATCTTGTCCTTGAATTACAAACATCTTGGATGCTTCGCTGTAAGATCTTACCCTTAATTTTCAATCACCTTTGATGCTACGGTGTAAGATCGTGCCCTGAACTTTCAATCCTCTTGAATGCTACTGTGTAAGCCTTGTCCTTAACATGCAAACATGTTGGATGATACGCTGTAAGGGGGTGTTGGATGGTACGCTGTAAGCTGTTGTCCTTAGCCTTCAAACATCTTGGATGCAAGCATGTAAGATCTTGTCTATAAATTACAAACATCATTGGTGCTTCGGCGTAAGATCTTGTGCTTTCAAACATCTTGGGCGCTACAGAGTCAGATCTTGTCCTTAACTTTCGATCATCCTTGATGCTACGCTGTCAGATAGCAGCCTGATCTTGCAATCATCTGGGATGCTACTGTGTAAGATTTTGTCCTTGACTTGCAAACCTTTGTTGCTACAAAGTAAGATCTTGTCCTTAACCTTCAAACATGTCGGATGCTACGCTCCAAGATTCTGTTTGTCTTGTCCCTAACCCTCAAACATGTTGGATGATACGCTGTAATTTCTTGTCCTTGACGAACAAGAACAAGAACCAGAACAAGAGAAAGAACCATAACCACAAGATTAGAAACAAGAACCACAATATCAGCAACAACAACAGCAGCAGCAACAAGAACAAACATAACAATAACAAAACACAATAGTTAAACAACAAGAGCAAGAACAGCGATAACAACATTAACAACAAGAACACGAACGAAAACGAGAATACGAGAAATAATAACAAGTTCTTGGAAGATCTGGATGCTGCCCAAGAAGATCTTGTCCTGAACTCTCAAGCATCTTGTATGATTTTGGTTGCTATGGAGTAAGACTTTGTCCTTAACTTTCAATCATCTTGGGTGCTACGGTGTAAGATCGTGCCCTTGACATTCAATCATCTTGGGACGCTACGCTCGAAGAGCTTGTCCTTAACTTTGAACATCTTGGAAGCTATGCCCTAAGACCTTGTTCTTGAATTACAAGCATCTTGAATCTGGGATGCCACGCTGTAAGACCTTGCCCTTAATCTTCAAACACCTTTGATGCTACGGTGTCAGGTCTTGTCCTTAAGTTCTAAACATGCTTGATGCTACTTTGCAAGATCCTCTCCTTAACTTTCCAGCATCTTGGATGTTACGGTGCAAGATTCTGTCCTTAACTTTCAAACATGTTTGATGCTATGCTGAAAGGCCTTGTCCTTAACTTTCAATCATTATTGATTGTACGGTGTAAGATCTTGTCCTTAACTTTCAACCATCTTGGATAACACGCTGTAAGACCTGTCCTTAACTTTCAATCATCTTGGGTGCTACGCTGTCAGGTCTTGTCCCCAACCTTCAGACATGTTGGATGATACGCTGCAAGTTCTCGTCCTTGCCTTACAAAAACAAAGACCGCAACAGCAAAAACAAGATTAAGACTCTGGTCAAGATGGAGATTTTTCCTTCAACCAATCTATATATTGATGGTCGGCTTCAAAACTCCGTAGGGCCTGGTTTATAAGATTTGATATAGGTATGACGATGGAATTCAAACCTCCACCAGTTAGAATATACCCTTTTCATCAATGATGACATGCTCAATAACCAAAGTTATAAGTTATAACACACTCAAAGATGTTATGACCTGCGAAACGGCGACTTACAAACCACGCTTGTTAATCACCTACTAAGGTAAACCATCATTAAACAACCCACAAAAATTACGAAACAGGTAGTCGTAAGTTCGCTGGCTACAGGTGAGCGCTGGCCCTCAAATACAAACAATCTGGCTCTTTGTTTTTTCTCCGAAACAGCTTTTATACCTATGTTTCAATCGGTGCTTGGAAAAAAGTAAAATCTACAAAATCACTTTTTTTTTCTCCAAGATGGCATGTCTCAAAGAGCCGCAAAGTGCCAAAGCGTCACAGAGCCGCGAAGTCTCAAAGCGCCAAGAAGCGCCAAAGCGTCAAAGAGCCGCAAAGCGCCAAAGGGCCAAGAGGCACCAAAGCATCAAGAGCGCCAAGCGTCAAGCGCCAAAGCGCCAAAGCGCCAAAGCGTCAAAGAGCCGCAAAGCGCCAAAGGGCCAAAGGGCCAAGAGGCACCAAAGCATCAAGAGCGCCAAGCGCCAAAGCGCCAAAGCGCCAAAGCGCCAAAGCGCCAAATCGCCAAGCGCCAAAGCGCCAAAGCGCCAAAGCATCCAAGCGTTCAGGCTTTGAGGCTTTGAGGCTTTGAGGCGTAGGACACGCGCCAAAGCGCTAAAGCATCCAAGCGTTCAGGCTTTGAGGCTTTGAGGCGTCGGAAAAGCGTCAAGAAGCGCCAAAGCGTGCAAGAGCCGCCAAGCGCCAAAGCGCCAAAGCGCCACAGCATCCAAGCGTTCAGGCTTTGAGGCTTTGAGGCGTCGGAAAAGCGCCAAGAAGCGCCAAAGCCTGAAAGAGCCGCCAAGCGCCAAAGCGCCAAAGCGCCAAAGCATCCAAGCGTTGAGGCTTTGAGGCTTTGAGGCTTTGAGGCGTAGGACACGCGCCAAAGCGCCAAAGCATCCAAGCGTTCAGGCTTTGAGGCTTTGAGGCTAGGCGTCGGAAAAGCGTCAAGAAGCGCCAAAGCGTGCAAGAGCCGCCAAGCGCCAAAGCGCCAAAGCGCCACAGCATCCAAGGGTTCAGGCTTTGAGGCTTTGAGGCGTCGGAAAAGCGCCAAGAAGCGCCAAAGCCTGAAAGAGCCGCCAAGCGCCAAAGCGCCAAAGCGCCAAAGCGCCAAAGCATCCAAGCGTTCAGGCTTTGAGGCTTTGAGGCTTTGAAGCGTGAGGCGCCAAAGAGGCTTTGCAGCTTTGAGGCTTTGAGGCTTTAAGGCGTGAGGCGCCAGAGAGGCTTTGGAGCTTTGAGGCTTTGAGGCGTGAGGCGCCAAAGAGGCTTTGCAGCTTTGAGGCTTTGAAGCTTTGAGGCGTGAAGCGCCAAAGAGGCTTTGCAGCTTTGAGGCTTCGCAAACCTTAGCGGGCCTGATCCCCCATACTCTGAATAAATTGGGTTTGATCATTGGTTTGGTGATCAAGTAATGGGAGTTTCCTAAAATGGGGAACCCAATAATTTTGGAAAACCCAAGTTACACAAGTTATTATGGGAAAGCCGGTTTGGAGTGGCCATATCTCAGGAACTCCCAAACGATCCTTGGAATTCCTCTCAACCATTCAGAATGCTTACTAAACCGTTTCGCCTGAGCTGCGACTGAAGGCTATACCGGTAGACCATGGGCATAGGTCAAAATTGCTTTCCCCCAAAAGTGATGTTTCACTCCAAAAAACAATCAGTTGTGACATTCAGGCTCCTGAATCCATGGGAGGGTTGCGGATCTAACACGGGTCAGATTAGATATGTACCGCAGATCTGTGACCCAGGTCTTGATTCATCTCCGCTATCCGAAAAAGCGATACATCATGGGAATTTCTCGCTGGTTGTTGAGTCGTTGCAGGTTTTTCTGCACCGAAAAGGGATACTTCTCCTCTCACCTTTCTGATGGATCATTTTCTGCCGATCGAGCGGCAATGGGCGGGCAAATAGCTTCGGGATACGTTTGCACCACTCACCATATTTTGCGTTTATCTGCTAGGCAATGATATCGTGAAATGCTCGTGGGTCAAAACCCTGGTACCCAAAAATGTACCCAAAAATGTACCCTTCTGCTCACACCAAAATAGCTGGGACATGGAGGTTGCCTGAGTTCTCTACCGTACATCAACTGTATACACTGTTGGTGGTCTGAATAGATCTGATTTCGGTGCAAACTACTCTTTGGTTGGCCTAAATTTATGCAAGAATAATGGGTGGAAGTCTTTGGGTATAGAAATTAGACCAACCATTTTAGGGCGCACATACGGAGAGCATCACACGGCACCACGTATCGACCTTTCAGAGGTTCCGTGTCCATTGTTGCTTCGGTGCCCTCGGATTATCCACGCACCAGGCGGGCAGGGTCTCGGTCTCGGCCGAGTGTTTTGGTTTTCTTTCCTCACGTGGTAAAACAGTGAACCATCACTAATTAATCTTACCAGAAATGGATAGAAATGGATGTCATAGCATCCCAAATGAGAGTTTATGTCATTGGGTTTGGTTGCCACATTGTCCAAGATAACCAAGGATTGCTTCCCCATCATGGTGGAGCAGATTTTCAACCCCGGAGCTCTCAAGACATATGTATATATATATAGAATTATATAGATACATTGAACCTTCAATCTGGGGTCCAGAAGATTGAATTTCTCGGAGTCGGGCGTTTTTCTACAGAAAAGCATAGTCTTTACTGTTTGGTACTTTGGTACATGACATACATTGAACATATCCATATGGTCCATACATATCGAACATATCCCAGGATCTTGGATCTTTATGGGTGATTTTCCAGCTATAAACCATCCAATCCTGGGACGGTCGAAATCTTCCAAGCGAGACTTGAGATGGGATGATGTTTCTGCTAGCCACATGGGGGTCAATAGATAAAAAGGCTTATCTATAATTGATATATATATATATATATATTACATAAGACAATAATGCATATATCTATATATATATACATACATATGATATAGTATATATATATATATATCTCATAGATTGTATATGTTTATAGACATTTCAAGCAAGGAATCCCCATCAACCGTGGCTTCACAGATACACACATCATCACCAACTGGAAGCCATCGGATTGTGGGATATCACTTCTTATCACCCGTGGGATCACTTGTTTTAAGAGATAGAAACCATTGAAAAAAACCGTGATAGCCTCTGGTTATTTGTTACATAGCCATGGAAGCCATGGCCCATAGAAATAGATGGTTTACCTGGGTTTACCTAGCTATAAAATGGTGGATCTTTCCATGGCTATGTTAGTCATAACCAGAGGGTAACTCGTGATTTTCCATGGTGACTTCAGTGGCATTTTTCACAACGGCCTTCCGCTGTCAGGCCCGAGTTGAAAGCTCGAGATCCGGACCATCACATCGACCCCGAACTCATGGAGGACTGGCTTTTGGGTTGGGATTTGGGGTTGAAAGGATTGATATATGGCTATGGATCAATACCTATACATACCATTTTTAATGGGATGAACATCCATTTACTAGCTATTTTGATGTTCACCAGGGGTACAAGGTTTTGACACACTGCCATATATGATCATTATTTTGGCACAAAAGCTGTGGATTTTCGGGGCACTACGGCAATACCCAATTTTTCGAAGAAAGTTGAGTAAATAAATTCAGGTTATACTTATATGGCGGTTTGGGTTGGTGGTTTGGAAGTCTGGGAAATCAGAGTTATGTGCAAAATAGATTTGAAAAATGTGTTTTTGTTTTGTGTGTTTTGTATTTGTTTTATTTTTTGTTTAACTAATCTAAATCTAATCCTAATCCCTAATCCCTAATCCCTAATCCTAATCCCTAATCCTAATCCCTAATCCTAATCCCTAATCCTAATCCCTAATCCTAATCCCTAATCCCAATCCCTAATCCTAATCCCTAATCCTAATCCCTAATCCTAATCCCTAATCCCTAATCCCTAATCCCTAATCCTAATCCCTAATCCTAATCCCTAATCCTAATCCTAATCCCTAATTCTAATCCCTAATCCTAATCCCTAATCCCTAATCCTAATCCCTAATCCCTAATCCCTAATCCTAATCCTAATCCTAATCCTAATCCCTAATCCTAATCCTAATCCCTAATCCTAATCCTAATCCCTAATCCTAATCCCTAATCCTAATCCCTAATCCTAATCCCTAATCCTAATCCCTAATCCTAATCCCTAATCCTAATCCCTAATCCCTAATCCTAATCCCTAATCCCTAATCCTAATCCCTAATCCCTAATCCTAATCCCTAATCCCTAAAATCCCTAATCCCTAATCCTAATCCCTAATCCTAATCCTAATCCCTAATCCTAATCCCTAATCCCTAATCCCTAATCCCTAATCCTAATCCTAATCCCTAATCCTAATCCTAATCCTAAATCCTAATTCTAAATCCTAATTCTAAATCCTAATTCTAAATCCTAATTCTAAATCCTAATTCTAAATCCTAATTCTAAATCCTAATTCTAAATCCTAATTCTAAATCCCTAATCCTCTAAATCCTAATTCTAAATCCTAATTCTAAATCCTAATTCTAAATCCTAATTCTAAATCCTAAATCCTAATTCTAAATCCTAATTCTAAATCCTAATTCTAAATCCTAATTCTAAATCCTAATTCTAAATCCTAATTCTAAATCCTAATTCTAAATCCTAATTCTAAATCCTAATTCTAAATCCTAATTCTAAATCCTAATTCTAAATCCTAAATCCTAATTCTAAATCCTAATTCTAAATCCTAATTCTAAATCCTAATTCTAAATCCTAATTCTAAATCCTAAGTCTAAATCCTAAGTCTAAATCCCAATTCTAAATCCTAATTCTAAATCCTAATTCTAAGTCCTAATTCTAAATCTTAATTCTAAATCCTAATTCTAAATCCTAATTCTAAATCCTAATGCTAAATCCTAATTCTAAATCCTAATTCTAAATCCTAAATCCTAATTCTAAATCCTAATTCTAAATCCTAATTCTAAATCCTAATTCTAAATCCTAATTCTAAATCCTAATTCTAAATCCTAATTCTAAAACTTAATTCTAAATCCTAATTCTAAATCCTAATTCTAAATCCTAATTCTAAATCCTAATTCTAAATCCTAATTCTAAATCCTAATGCTAAATCCTAATTCTAAATCCTAATTCTAAATCCTAATTCTAAATCCTAATTCTAAATCCTAATTCTAAATCCTAATTCTAAATCCTAATTCTAAATCCTAATTCTAAATCCTAGTTCTAAATCCTAGTTCTAAATCCTAGTTCTAAATCCTGAATCTAAATCCTAATTCTAAATCCTAATTCTAAATCCTAATTCTAAATCCGAATTCTAAATCCTAATTCTAAATCCTAATTCTAAATCCTAATTCTAAATCCTAATTCTAAATCCTAATTCTAAATCCTAATTCTAAATCCTAATTCTAAATCCTAATTCTAAATCCTAATTCTAAATCCTAATTCTAAATCCTAATTCTAGATCCTAATTCTAAATCCTAATGCTAAATCCTTATGCTAAATCCTAATTCTAAATCCTAATTCTAAATCCTAATTCTAAATCCTAATTCTAAATCCTAATTCTAAATCCTAATTCTAAATCCTAATTCTAAACCTAATCCTAAACCCTAGTTCTAGATCCTGATTCTAAATCCTAATTCTAAATCCTAATGCTAAATCCTAATTCTAAATCCTAATTCTAAATCCTAATTCTAGATCCTAATTCTAAATCCTAAATCTAAATCCTAAATCTAAATCCTAATTCTAAATCCCAATTCTAAATCCTAAATCTAAATCCTAAATCTAAATCCTAAATCTGAATCCTAAATCTAAATCTAAATCTTAATCTAAATCTAAATCTAATCTAATCTAATCTATCTCTCTAAGTATCTGTCTATCTGTTTGTTTGTCTGTCTGTCTGTCTATCTATTTACTTATCTAATATATCATATCCAATATATCTATTTGTTTGTCTGTCTATCTATCTATCTATCTATCAATCTATCAATCTATCAATCTATCAATCTATCAACCAATCTCATATATCTACATAATCTATCTATCTATTTATTTGTTTGTCTATTTGTCTATCAAACTAGTCTAATCTTCTCTGATCTTATCTAATCTAATCTAAGCTAATCCAATCCAACCTCTCTAATCTTTCAAGTCTGTCTATTAATCTATCTAATCTATCTAATCCACCTAGTCTACCTTTTCTATCTGATCTATCTAATATGCCTACTCTATCCAAGTGACCTTACCTATCTATTCTATCTAAATAATCTACATGAAAGCAAAACAGAGAAAAAAACAGTTTCTCTTGAAACAAATTCCATTGCGGTCCTATCCTGTACAGTACTCTGACTGATGCAGGTTTCATGGAGTTTCCATGGAGTTTCCATGCAGTTTCCATGCAGGTTTCATGTTGGTTACATGCTGGGTTTGCTGATTTAGCTTACTGGTGTGTAACCTTCATGACAGCTCCCTGGAACCTGCATGGAATCTGCATGGAACCTCCATGGAACCTGCATCAGGCAGAGTGCATGGTAAAACCAACAAGTGTAGATAGAGGCATCACCTCCATAACGCACATGGAAACTGCATGAAATCTACATCAATTCTCCATGGAACCTGCATGGAACCTCCATGAAAACTGCATCAGTTGGAAGGCGCCATGCAACCATCACGTTTAGACACAAGAAACAACGGAACCTACATGAAACCTCCATGAAACCTACATCAATTCTCCATGGAACCTGCATGGATACTCCATCAAAGAAGCGCCATACAAGCACCAGGTGTAGATACAGGGAACAGAGACTTTTTTTTTAGTGGACACTACGTGGAAACCATCAGACGCTTTGACGCAAATTGATCGCAAATCGATCGTAAATCGATCGTAAACTGATCGTAAAAAAACGCACAAAAACTGTCATAGCATCTGTGCATTTTGATGTCGTTTTCACTAGGTCATCTGTCTTTGTTGATGTCCCTTTTTGTTTCTGCACTGGAAAAGTCAATTTCTTCCAGAGTTTCTATTTATCCTGAGTGTTCACTGCTTGGTGGTTTCGATTTTGGCAAGGTTTCAAATGTGAATTTTTGTTTGATGTCATTTTGATGGAGTTTTATGTCTGTCTCGGTGTCAACTTGATGGAGGTTCCTAACATATAATATTGCAAGCTAAGTTAATTAAAAGACGAAACCACCAAGAGAAATGAACTCACTTATGTCATCTTGGATTCTATGATCACCAAACCATATGAATATATGAATTGGCAAGTGCCGTTTTCTACAGGCCTTAGGTTCTTGTCGATGTCATATTGATGTTGTTTTATGGCCTTCTTATTCGTTTTTAGGCCGATGTCAAATCGATCGACAAAGGATCGCAAAACAACGTCGAAATCCTACATCAAAATGGCACATTACAAAGTCCACACTTGAAACCCTGGCCTTGCCAACATCAAAACCGCCAAGCAACGAACACTCAGGATAAATAGAAATTCTGGAAGAATTTGACTTTTCCAGTACAGAAACCTCAGCAAAGACAGATGGCCTAGTGAAAACGACATCAAAACGCACAGATGCTATAACAGTTTTTGTGCGATCAATTTAGTTACGATCGATTTGCGATCGATTTGCATCAAAGCGTCTGATGGTTTCCATGTAGTTTCCATTAAAAAAAACTCGAACATGTTCCCTGTATCTACACCTGATGATTGTATGGCGTCTTCCTTGATGGAGTATCCACGCAGGTTCCATGGAGAATTGATGTAGGTTTCATGGAGGTTTCATGTAGGTTCCGTTGTTTCTTGTGTCTAAACGTGATGGCTGCATGGCGCCTTCTAACTGATGCAGTTTTCATGGAGGTTCCATGCAGGTTCCATGGAGAATTGATGCAGATTTCATGCAGTTTCCATGTGCGTTATGGAGGTGATGCCTCTATCTACACTTGTTGGTTTTACCATGCACTCTGCCTGATGCAGGTTCCATGGAGGTTCCATGCAGATTCCATGCAGGTTCGAGGGAGTTCTCATGGAGGTTACACACCAGTAAGCTAAATCAGCAAACCCAGCATGTAACCAACATGAAACCTGCATGGAAACTGCATGGAAACTCCATGGAAACTCCATGAAACCTGCATCAGTCAGAGTACAGGATAGGACCACACGGTTTCAAGAAACTGTCTTTCCCCCATTTCAAAAATAAATAGACAAGTACAGAAAAATGCACTAGAATTCAATAATCAATTAAACAATCACGTGAAATTATTGGACATTAAATAAGTGTACATTTTCCGAGATACAAGATGAATATCAATTCAAAAACAAACCTAATCTGGTAGCAATCATTGTTGTTTTAAATTTGTTTTCTTTATTTTCAATGATTTCATTGTTTGCAGGGTTTGATATTTTTTGTTTTTTCTAAGTTTACAAAACCATCAATTCCCAGACTTCCAAACCACCAACCCAAACCACCACGTAAGCACAAGTTGATAAATGGGCCAACGCCCCGGTGCCGCCGACCCCCTTGTAAGGGAGGAGACCTGCCATTGCCACCAACCAGCCTCGCAGATGTTTCGCCGGCTCAGTGTCATGTTCAAGATGCATCCGTGCGAGGGTTGGATAGATCTGAGGGCAACCATAATTTTTTTCATCACACATGGTGCTTTACACGGTTTACCATGTTTTACTGTCGTTTCACAATTTCCCTTCCATAAAAGCCTCACCAATGGAAGAGTTTACCAGATCAGTGCTCTCTGTGAACATGTCTTCTCCGCGTACGAACCCTTGGCATGTGGGAATGTGTTTGCAGTTGCCCTTTTTGCCACGGCGCTGTTGCCAGCAAGGTGCAGACCGGGCAAATCAACCATCGAGGCAAGCGCGGCAACCTGTTTTATGTCAAAGATGGGAAGGTGGCTGCAAACGTGCCGAGAAAAATTTGGAGCCGAAGCGGCAGCACCTGGCCAGCTGCAGCTGCAGCTGAAGCTGCACCAGTTTCGCAACCACAGGCAAGTGGCCATCGGCCATGGGCCATGGTGCTTGTAGAGGGCCAGGGCCTTGGTTGGCTGCCGTCGAAAGCTGCTGCGGAGGAAACTTTAAGGTTTTGAAGCTTTTGAGGCCTTGAAAGGGTCGCTAAAACGTGCCACGTAGCAGTTTCGAAACCCAAAACAAAATTGCGGGACTGCTGCTCGCGCTTGCAGCGGAGGGACCGTGGTGGGCTGCGTTGGAAAGCTGCTTGAAGCTGCTTGAGGCTTCTGAAGCCTTCAAAGGGTCGCTAAAATGTGCCACATAGCAGTTTCGAAAACCTAAAGAAACATTTTTTCGGGACCTATTGCGGTGCCTACTTAGCTGCTCGGGCTTGCAGCGGAGGGACCATGGTGCTTGCAGAGGGGGCCGCGGCCTTGGTTGGCTGCCTTGGAAAGCTGCAGTGCGGAGGGCTTTAAGGAACGAAGCCACAGCTGTCACAGGTGAGGCCAAAGCCACTGTCACACACCTACCGTGGTCCCAGGCGCCGCCCCGCTTACGCCAAGGCTAGGCAGGGGTCGGCGGATATCTAGAACATTCTAGAATGATCTAGGAGATGGGCTTCCCATTGAAAGAATCACATATTCCATGGACAATGACGGAAACGTTTCTAGACTAAAATGAACAAATAAATGGAGAATGCCGATAAATATGGATATTGAGTAATTAATTAAATGATTGAACCATCACAGTGGACGGATACCGGTTCCCGATCTCGCAATTTAAAGTGTGTCCTGGAATGGTGATGGTTCAGGTTCAGGCATGATGTTTTAGGATCGGAATCCTGGTTTGAGAACGGTAAACATAGTGACATAGTGACTGAAAACCTCCCTGGGTTACCCCGGTTTGAGCTCCACATGTTAGAGTGACCGAGAATGGGGTATATATTGCGTGTTCAGACCGATATTTGTTGGGATCCAGTACCTGGACTACCAATATGATGCCAATATTCAATATGTGGAAAATTTTATCCAATGTCTGTCCTTCAACCATTTAGGATCATTTAAGTTCAAACGAGCTGCAACTCAGTTGAAACGAGTCAATCTTCATTGCAAACCCTGATTTTTTGCAAGTTTCGAGTGGTCTTATCTTCCAACATTTTGATTTATGACCCTCCCCATTAAAAAGGGGTCCCTTTCCCTGATCAATCGAGGAGTTAAGGCAATGTGGAGTCTGTGGGCTCAGATCCGTCAGGGGAAGATAGGCGTTTTCATTTCTACAAATTCAACCAATTTCTCCTCAAAACTTATGTTGGTGGTTGGGAGCAACCCTATCAATAGTCTAGGTTGTATTCGGATTTGCAAAATTGGATGCGTGTAATGGACATAAATTTCTGCAGATGTACCAATCCATGGGGGGCCCATCTCTCATTCGTCTTGATCATGGAGTGTTGAGTGTTGAGGATGATCCAGCCAAGTAGGATGATCCTACAGTTTTGTTAGCTTTGTTGATATTGGATTTTCCACGCGTGTCTATAGATATAACTATAGTTTTCATGAGGTTTATTATAAACCATCTATAGAGTTAATGTGGTTTATAAACAGTTATTTCCCCCCCAGTTAATGTTTTTTTTTCCACCTTTAAAAAAACACCGTTCACATAACTGGGGGGCACATGGGGGCACCATCCTGTAGGTAAATCATCGGCAACAAAAATCCACAGCAAACTGTTAGTCATTAGATTTACGGGGATGAACATGATTTTTGATCCCTTCTATGGGGTTGAGGGGGATTATACTAAGCGTTAGGGGATCGCAATTCATTAGGGGAATCTCTATTAACCAACGAGTATAATGGAATAACAGAGAGATTTTGAACACTGCTCAATTAATGAACGTTTTAGTTGACAATTTACATCTGCATGACGAAAACTTTTTAGATGGAGACCGTATCGAATAACCAACGCCACTATACATACAGCCACGAACATGATCAAGAACAAACAGGAGAGAATTCATGAGAGTTCATACTTGTGATGTCAATGTTGAGGGTTTTACTTACTGATTCGTAACAACAAGTATGAGTAATATCAATCAAATTAAACAATGATAATGTAGCAACTCGTCACATGGATGTCAAATATTCTCTCTCACGCACATCTGATCATATAAGCAACGTTTGTAGTTTCAATACCCTCTGGTTATTTAACATGGCCATGGAAAATGGCCCATTTATAGATGGTTTACCTATTAAAAATGGTGATTTTCCATGGCTATGTTAGATAACCAGAGGGTATATAACATTTGTTTTAATACCAGGTAGGTTATAGCGACCCCATGTGACCCCACCCTGGATGATGGTTAGGTTTGGGGAAACCATCCCCCAAATCGCAAAATTATTTCAAATTATGGAATGTTTGAATTATATCCAAATATCTTTAATTTCTATGATCATGACCCAACTAAACCACTCATATTGAAAACATATACGTACCAAGAATGGTAATTTGGCGTACCTTATGTATGATCTCTTCAGTCTGCTACCGACTGTTTTTGCCACCGCGTTGCAAAAAATCATGGGAGAAAATCGTTCATAGAACGTGTATAGTTTTCACAAATTACACTTTATATTTTCTAGTTTATATACTGTTTATATCATGTTGACCAGTTTACCATAGAAATCACATCTTCATTCCATTTTGGCACCTTCCAAAAAGGTTGCAGCCCGCTGGGCCAAGGCTGCGGCCCTGCAGAGCGCTTTCGCGGCCAGCGGCCCGGCGGTCTTCTTCGCCGTGGACCAGGCGCGGACGATGATTTCAAGCGCGGTTTTTTAAACGGGTGGAAAAATATAACGGTTTAAGAACATGGTTTATAACATGATAAAACTGGTGGAAAACCGTTTATTTCATGGAAAACCATGATTTTTTTGGGATATGTTAATGGAATTTAGATACCTAAAATATCAAAAAACACATGGGTTATAACATTTTATCATTACATTTATGGGAGTTTCTAACAATTTTAACACTAAACACACTGATTTTAATAACCACGTTTTTTTTTTGATATGTTTGGTGTTTTATGGAAACATGTTTGGTGATTGATGGAATTTAGACATCAAACATATCCAAAAAACCATGATTTATAACATATTTATCACAATTGTTATATACTATCTCCATGGCAGTAGGGTTGCACCCAAGAGTTTGTTTTCCAGTAAAAACAAACGTTCCCCATTGCAAAACCTCAGTTTCATGATAGGAAACAAACGTTCAGCGGCACAAGAAAAGGTTTGTTTCTGCAGTCGAAACTAACGTTTGCTGCCAATATGCAATGGCACGGCTGGAAACCTCATTGAAAACCAAGGTTTTTCCAGTGGAAACTAAAGTTTTTGATCGAAAAGAATTGTTTTCTCGTCGCAAACAAACCTTTTTCCACAACCTTTGTTTTTAAACCGAAACCTTGAAACAAACTTCCACCGAACTAGTTTGAAACTCTCCAAAACAAACATTTTTTTCGGTAGTTTTGTTTGTTTGTTTTGTTGGAAACCTTTGTTTGAAAGTATATTGTGCGAAGTTTGTTTTGTCACTGGAAACAAACCCTTTAGGCAAACTTTGGTTTCTTCCGGAAAAATAAACCTTTCCACCATTGGGGTACTGTGTTTGTTTTTTCGTGCTGTTTCAAACGTTTCCGCAAAACGTTTGTTTCCGCTGAAAAAACTATAGTTTCCAAACTTTTGTTTTCTTTCTGGCAACTAATGTTTTGCTTCCGCAAATGTTTGTGCCTACCGTCTTCGCTTCCTTTTGTCGTCCGTGTATTTTCTTTGGTTGATTTTGGTTTTGCTTTTCACACTTCATCCAACTGCGTTCCGGCTCCGCCCCGCCTTCTGTTCCCAACAGACACGGCTCCGCCATCCAAGCACCACCTTTCCGGCTCCGCCACGTCTTTCCAACCCGTATGGCGACGTGTGGTGTTCGTGGCGAACCTTCCCGCAGACATCACAGCAGAACAGCTGCGCGCTGACTTCGCTGTTTTGGGAGCCATTGTGCATGTGGATGCCTCTTTGCAGCAACGTCTAATAATTACTTCAATATACTACACCCCTGTTTGCTTCTGTTCGATGCGATCCACATTGTTCCACATCATCTCAGCCGGCGTGATCTTCATATAACGATAGTTCCTTTTGGTTTCCATGCTAGCAAGCCAATTCCATCTCCAAAACAGTTCCGTGTGAACGGGCTTCGTGTCTGTCGCATCATATTCTGCTTCTTTTGTTCCCAACTGGCGTCTTGTTTCGACATTCTAAGATTGTGCTCTTGAACTGTTGCTGCTGTCTTCGCTTCTAATTCTTGTTCTCGTTGCGGTTGCTTGTTGTTCTTGTTCTTGTTCTTGTCCTTCTTCTTGTTCTTGTTCCTGTTCTTGTTCTGGTTCGTTGTTGTTAGTTGCTGTTGGTTTTTGTTGGGTTGTTGTTGGCTGCTGTTCCTTGTTGCTGTTTCTTTGCTACCAAGGTTCGCTGCAAACCGCAGCACGCCGCTGCTATCATTCGCTATGCTGCTCCAGCAGCATATGTTGGAAACCTTTGTTTGAAAGTATATTGTGCGAAGTTTGTTTTGTCACTGGAAACAAACCCTTTAGGCAAACTTTGGTTTCTTCCGGAAAAATAAACCTTTCCACCATTGGGGTACTGTGTTTGTTTTTTCGTGCTGTTTCAAACGTTTCCGCAAAACGTTTGTTTCCGCTGAAAAAACTATAGTTTCCAAACTTTTGTTTTCTTTCTGGCAACTAATGTTTTGCTTCCGCAAATGTTTGTGCCTACCGTCTTCGCTTCCTTTTGTCGTCCGTGTATTTTCTTTGGTTGATTTTGGTTTTGCTTTTCACACTTCATCCAACTGCGTTCCGGCTCCGCCCCGCCTTCTGTTCCCAACAGACACGGCTCCGCCATCCAAGCACCACCTTTCCGGCTCCGCCACGTCTTTCCAACCCGCATGGCGACGTGTGGTGTTCGTGGCGAACCTTCCCGCAGACATCACAGCAGAACAGCTGCGCGCTGACTTCGCTGTTTTGGGAGCCATTGTGCATGTGGATGCCTCTTTGCAGCAACGTCTAATAATTACTTCAATATACTACACCCCTGTTTGCTTCTGTTCGATGCGATCCACATTGTTCCACATCATCTCAGCCGGCGTGATCTTCATATAACGATAGTTCCTTTTGGTTTCCATGCTAGCAAGCCAATTCCATCTCCAAAACAGTTCCGTGTGAACGGGCTTCGTGTCTGTCGCATCATATTCTGCTTCTTTTGTTCCCAACTGGCGTCTTGTTTCGACATTCTAAGATTGTGCTCTTGAACTGTTGCTGCTGTCTTCGCTTCTAATTCTTGTTCTCGTTGCGGTTGCTTGTTGTTCTTGTTCTTGTTCTTGTCCTTCTTCTTGTTCTTGTTCCTGTTCTTGTTCTGGTTCGTTGTTGTTAGTTGCTGTTGGTTATTGTTGGGTTGTTGTTGGCTGCTGTTCCTTGTTGCTGTTTCTTTGCTACCAAGGTTCGCTGCAAACCGCAGCACGCCGCTGCTATCATTCGCCATGCTGCTCCAGCAGCATATGTTGGAAACCTTTGTTTGAAAGTATATTGTGCGAAGTTTGTTTTGTCACTGGAAACAAACCCTTTAGGCAAACTTTGGTTTCTTCCGGAAAAATAAACCTTTCCACCATTGGGGTACTGTGTTTGTTTTTTTGTGCTGTTTCAAACGTTTCCGCAAAACGTTTGTTTCCGCTGAAAAAACTATAGTTTCCAAACTTTTGTTTTCTTTCTGGCAACTAATGTTTTGCTTCCGCAAATGTTTGTGCCTACCGTCTTCGCTTCCTTTTGTCGTCCGTGTATTTTCTTTGGTTGATTTTGGTTTTGCTTTTCACACTTCATCCAACTGCGTTCCGGCTCCGCCCCGCCTTCTGTTCCCAACAGACACGGCTCCGCCATCCAAGCACCACCTTTCCGGCTCCGCCACGTCTTTCCAACCCGTATGGCGACGTGTGGTGTTCGTGGCGAACCTTCCCGCAGACATCACAGCAGAACAGCTGCGCGCTGACTTCGCTGTTTTGGGAGCCATTGTGCATGTGGATGCCTCTTTGCAGCAACGTCTAATAATTACTTCAATATACTACACCCCTGTTTGCTTCTGTTCGATGCGATCCACATTGTTCCACATCATCTCAGCCGGCGTGATCTTCATATAACGATAGTTCCTTTTGGTTTCCATGCTAGCAAGCCAATTCCATCTCCAAAACAGTTCCGTGTGAACGGGCTTCGTGTCTGTCGCATCATATTCTGCTTCTTTTGTTCCCAACTGGCGTCTTGTTTCGACATTCTAAGATTGTGCTCTTGAACTGTTGCTGCTGTCTTCGCTTCTAATTCTTGTTCTCGTTGCGGTTGCTTGTTGTTCTTGTTCTTGTTCTTGTCCTTCTTCTTGTTCTTGTTCCTGTTCTTGTCCTGGTTGGTTGTTGTTAGTTGCTGTTGGTTATTGTTGGGTTGTTGTTGGCTGCTGTTCCTTGTTGCTGTTTCTTTGCTACCAAGGTTCGCTGCAAACCGCAGCACGCCGCTGCTATCATTCGCTATGCTGCTCCAGCTGCCGCGCAGCGCGCGGTCAATGAATGGCATAACAGTAGTTATGCCAACCGGCAGCTAGTTGTAGAATACGCCCGCCGAGGCTAACCGAACCAGTTCGCACGGCGAAAATAGTTGCCAAGCGTGTGGCCGTGGCTGCAAACAAACTAACTCTCTCACCTTGGTCTGGAAAAGTTTGTTTCGGAAACTTCAAACTCTAGTTTTGAAACTTTTGTTTCTCAACCCTCGCCGACCCCTCCTGGAAAAGGTTTGTTTCACCCCCCGGAAACTAACTTTTCCCGTCGAAAACCTTTGTTTTGAAGGCCCGAAACTATAGTTTCACCATCCGTCGAAAACGTTTGTTTTCTTCCTCTAAAACAAACCTTTTTTTCCATTAGTTAGTTTGTTTCTGCCGACCCCCCCCCCCTCTCCCGCCACGGATGTCCAGACAAGGTTTCGACACTGACCTTTTTAGTCTGCAAACAAACGTTTAAAACTTTAGTTTAAAACCTTCTGGTCGCAACCATACTCCTCCATGGGGACTCAACAATGGTTTAGGACTGGGGGTTATGTATAGGGGTTTCTGGACAAATGGGGGGCGCAAAATCATCAATGTCTCTGGGCTCTTGGGAAACCCATTTGGGTTCCCGAAACACCCTTTTATCAATTGAGAGCGAAATTCCACACTCGCCGGGCAGTTGTGAAGACACCGGATCACAACACAGAACATCCAAATTTCGATGCAGCTGCCATGTGTGCCATGGTCAAGAATTGGATGTGTTTAAATTTTTGTCAACGCTTTGCAAACTCTCAAATACATATCAGGCAAAGATAATACGCCCCATTTTACAAAGAAACGCTGCAACTTTATTAGAGCTCAAAAGATTTTTAAATTTGGCCAACCCTAAAAACGTCATGAGCACGCAAATCCAAAAACCTTTGAATCCACCTTCCTTGCAAATTGATGATGTGGCTGAAGATAGTGCGAGGCAGCGTTTCACAAATTATGAGACTGCAAGAGAGGAATGCTAGGGGTGCTTAACCCCCCCCAAAAAAAAAGGAGGTTGCCTACTTTGGCACTTGAAAATTTGGTCGCGCCTTGCGATTCCTCACCCTTCCTGTTCTGTTTTGATTCCCACTTCCCTTTGGGTTAAATTTTGCGACACTACAATCATGTGCATGATGCATGTTCTTATCGTATACCAACTCTTGGGGCGCTCCGATTGTTGGCCCTGGTCTTCTCTTGACCTTCACGATATTCAGTCACCATAGTTTCAAATGCACTGACCCCGCCACCAGAGTCCGGGGCTGTGTCATCATGGACCTCTGAGTTCATGCGAGACTCGAGTCAAGAATTGGATTGTATATATGCCATCATTGGGGAATGGTCGTCAATCGATAAAAAAGGGACTTATACCATTCTTCGGATTGAAAAAAAGGGATGCATGGCGATAAACATCGATAAACCATAGACACCCATGACCCAAACGCACCAGTGGACCGTGGCCCATTTACATCCATTTACTTCACTTTGGCGCTCCATTTTTGCTGATACTTGCGCCATCTGCCGTCGAATTTCTGCCAGGTTGCGGCACATCTCAAGAAACGACTCATGAAAGGAGGTCCAATGATATGGCAGCTGCGACGGGCTGATGGTGGGGTCGGTAACCCAATGATCCATCACCAGTGGGTTCAGTTTTAATATCTCTGACCTTGCTTTTGTGAGAAAATTTAAAGTGAAACATTGAAACACACGGATTTGGAACGCCACCAGCTCTGTATGGTTCCTTCGACATCGCTTGTTGGGAGAAACCAGCCTTTATGGAGGCCATCAGTGAAGCTGCGAAACTGCGGGGTAATTCTCTTCGTAGATTAGCTGAGGTCGCTGGCCAGTGGGGAATTTTGACACAGCTATCGAACATCACCATTTTCAGTCGCTAAATCATGTATAAACGGTCCGTTTTCCACAGCAAACTGTTAAGTGACCGGATTGTATGCGGCACCCGGGAGCTGCTCAAAACCATTGGACGGTTTTTAACTCGGGGGGTAAACCAGCCATGATAAGCAAAATCTTTCAATATCTTTCAATATCTTTCAATATCTTTCAATATCTTTCAATATCTGGATCTTTCAATATCTTTCAAAGTTTTAATTCACGTACCGATTTGTTGGGATTTGTGGAGTGATCGTCGTTTTTTTTGGGACACCACCATTTTGAAGGGACTTCCTGCCAGGGTCAACCGGTCAACCGGCTGCGCAGGAGAGGCCCCCTCGTTACGGCCACAAGAGGGTACCCAGGGTGCCGGGCTCGGCGTTTTTGACTTCGATGGGACGTGGTGGAAAGGTCACAATGTCACAATTCCCAGATTTTCCCAGGGTTTTCAGAGTGGGTTGGGATACAACTGATACATATGATACATATGGAGGTTTCCTGAAATGGGGATACCCCAGTCATCATCCATTTGAAATCATTTGAATCGGATTTTCCATGAAATAAATAAACTTTTTTTGGGGACTCCCCATTTATGGAACCCCCCATGTGGATAAACATGGGATAGCAACAAGACCAGGGCTGAACCAACGCTGGAGGTCATAACGTTACTTCGGACACAATCCAGCTAAAAGGTCACCTAAAAGGTCCATTGGAGGTTTGAGAAATGGATCAAAACTAGAGATACCCTCTGGTAAACTAACATAGCAATGGAAAATCACAATTTTTCATGGGAAAATCCACTATAAATGGCCATTTTCAATAGCTATGTTAAATTACCAGAGGGTACCATATTTGGAGAGATGAATATCCATAGCAATCATAGCAGATATACCATGACTGGGTGGTGGTTTGGAACATTTTTTATTTTTCCATATACTGGGAATAATCATCCCAACTGACTAATATTTTTCAGAGGGGTTGAAACCACCAACCAGATGATATACCATATTTGGAGAGATGAATATCCATAGCAGTTGCTGTGAGAAGGAGCCTCCCTGGGAAAATGGGTTTTGAACCGCACCCATTTTCGACAATTTCCATGCAATTTCCATCCAATTTCCCCCAATGATTCCTGATGACATGTTCATTCTTCCCCAAGAAATCACCAGCTCTTTGCCTTAGCCAGGGGCCAATGAAAGTGGAGATCCATGCCAGAGGAGCCTGGGAAGTTCCCAAGTTACGGATCGTGGGGTGATCCAAGACGCTGCTGATTGCCTTGCTGTCCACGTTTTGAAAAACTCGAGGTAGACCGTTTTCGGCTAGTTGGAGATTTGAGCGATGTGATTTGAGAGACTCATGGGATCAGCTGAGCTCAGCTCAACGAATTTGTGAGATCGGCTGGTTCAGGTGATTTTCTAAACAGGGCCTGTCTTTTACATATAGGCCTGTTTGCCACACTTTTAAGCGCTGGGACTTTGCAAACACAGCTTCAGGATGCTTCAGTTACTTCAGTTCTTGAGTTGGTTGATGTTGGTTGCTACACATACATGGTTTAGTTGGTTGTTGGTTATATGAATGTTTGTTCTACTGAACGGGATTCACAGATTGAGTGAATGCATGGCCGTTCATATGATGTTTTAACGCTCAAGATCAAATGGTCGACCCAGTACTTTTGTTCTCGCATGCCATCGCCGTTCTACTTGGTCTGGGGTTGCCTTTGACTTACTCCTCTGGCCAAGCTGAGTGTCCAGCGTGCATCGTGACCTGCGGCAGCATCAGTTGCCCCCCAGTGCATTGTAGTACTGGCCACATTGAATTGGGCACCGCATCTATATTTGCTCTTGGTTGCTTAATTGGACTGGCCTTGCTTTCTTCTTGGTGCTTTCATAGATCTGAGGCTAAGGTGACAGGGCCTGGGAAGGAGCCCATAGGACAGCGGCCAGCACTGGTGGATGGCCGGCGGCCCCTTGGACGGGCAGTTGGCTGGCAACCTGAAGCCAGGTGATAGGATCCTTGCCTGTTACGACGGAGAGGATTTATGGCATTGCCGCTACCTTCTTTCCAGAGTGGACCGGGACTCATGGATTGTGGTGACTCCAGACGCCGATCTCTTTGCAGAAGAAATTTCTCATGGGAATCTCGAATGGTCTGCTTGGCGAGTTTGGCCTGTTGGATCACCTGTTCCTTTTGGAGTGGACGGGAATTTGATCTATGGCTTCAACCCAGAACCCAGTGCAGCCGATTTGCAAAGCTTGATTCAGGAAGGTGCTCAGCATGCAGCCCAGGAGAGAGTGAGATTGGGAATTGCAGCCCCAGCAGCAGCAGTTGTGCCAGCGGCTGGAGTCCCAGCAGGAGGTGGTCCTGGTGGTGGTGGCATTGCACCAGCGCCTGTGCCTGCGCTTGCTGGGCCTGGCAGTGTTGGTGGAGCTGTTGCCGCATTGCCAAATTTGGCTGGTGCTGGTGGTGGTCATGCAGGGCTAGTCCACGGTTTAGCTGCAGGGGGTCCAGGCGCAAATCAGTCCGAGGACGATGCTCGAACCCTGGCAATTTCGCGGGATGTGGATGGGCTGCGCTTCAAAGAGTTCCGCTCCGCAGTACAGGAAGCAAAGCCTGCAGAGTTCGCAGACTGGCCAATTGCAGGTCCCAGAACGGTGAAGTATGTGATCTCCCAGATGCTGGAGCATGGTGGCAGTGCCATAGCACACCATCAAGCATGGCAGGTCGCCTGCAAACTCCAACCAACAGATGGCCCTGCGATGGAGCACGAGGCATGGTCAAAGGTGCTTCAAACTATGATGACCTACGATCAGCTGGATGTGTCAAATTTAACCAGTGCCGAGTTGGTTGTACGAGCGTTGCAGCGCATAGAGGAGAAGCACAAGTTCAAATTGGTTTCTGCCGAGGACGCTGGAGAAGGAGCACTCTTCATGGGAGCGAGCTCTGGCGCCAGGGTGGGATCCATTATCTCACCGAAGTTGACCGAGTGGATTGGCAGCGAGATGCAGAAGGAGGCCATGGTGTCAAAAGAAAGACGAAAAGCTCGAGAAGAGCGGGCATTGTCCCGGAAAGGGGACAAAGATGCAGGAGCTCCCAAGTGATCCATGCCAACGGAGTTGGGGCCTTCAAGTTGACCTTGATCTACATGATTTTGTTTTGCAATTTCAACTTGGTTTGTGCGGGAGTAGATGGCGATGCTGGCCTTTTGGGTGAGACTCGCCAACGTAACATCTTTCCACTGCCGAGTATCCCTGGTGGCAGTGAGTCTGGCTCTCAGGAATCTGGATGGCAGGACTTAGCCAACTCAGGGATTCGTGCACTCAATGAACTTGCTGGGTGCGTTAATTCAAGTTTTGATCGTAAGAAGAGCACTCGTGTTCAACGTAAAGCTCTCAAACACATATCTAGAGCGTTCCAAGAGGTCCACCAAGCCGTTGAAGGTGATGTTGGGCGATCAGCTCTCCAGGATTTGTGTTCTTCATCACGACTGTATCAGGTTGACAGGAGTGATGTAGTGTCGTACGTCAGGGAGAATGTCTCCTGGCCCCAGGTCCAATCTACGCCAATTCCATTGAGCGAATGCTTGGATCCGGCCGACAGTGAAAGACTTGCGACTTGGCGGCAGCATATGCTGAAGAATGACATGAACATTGGTGACGGGCCATCGATCAAGCATGCATACATTGACCCGATCTTGAAGCACAGCCCTCAAGAGTATGTCAAGTTTCTGGAAGAGCTTAAGTGTCGTCATATGGTTTCTTTTCAGCCTTATGTGGGCCATGGAGGAGACCTCGGCATATTCTGTGTTCGAAAGAAAAATGGCATGCAAAGGCTCATCTTTGACACGAGGATTCTCAACCAGAGGTTTGTTGATCCCCCATCCACTGATCTGCCTTCGGCTGATGCATTCACTCGTCTTGAACTACCTCAAGACTCTTCATTCTTTGTGGGCTCTGGGGATTTAGCTAACGCTTTCTACACCCTTGGGGTCCCTGATGAACTGGCCCGAATGTTTACCCTGCCCGCCGTCAAGGCGGAGAAGCTGGGAATCACCACCATTGACGGCTGCGCTGTGAGGCCTGGAGACCTTGTCACCCCTTACCTCACTGTGCTGCCAATGGGTTGGGCTTGGGCTCTACACCTTTGTCAATGCGTATTGATGAAAGCAATTCATGATGCTGGTTTTTTAGAGGGTCAAATTATTAGCGACAAGGGTCAGCCGGTTTGCATTGATTCTCACAATGGTATTGGTTGCGCGGGGTATGTTGACAATTTCCTGGTGATTGGATGCAATCAAAGCTGCGTCAACGCAGGTCTGCAGCGCATTGCAGGCAAACTGAGAGGGCGCGGCTTGACAGTCCATGAAGAGGAGTTTGCAACCCCTTACACTGACTTTGTTGGACTTAGGTTTGACGGGAAATCTGGCACCATTAGCATTAAACCTGAAAGGATTGTCAAGTTGCAGCGAGCGATACAAGAGTTGGTCTCACGTAACTTTGCATCTGGGGAGGTGCTTGCTTCAGTTGGTCCTGGGTCATATCACCTGGGCTGTCATGGCTCGGCGTGAAGGGTTATCCATTTTGAGATCTTGTTATGCCTTTGCCAATGAGAATTTGCACACCCCGAAGAAGCTTTGGCCCTCAGTCAAGTGGGAGCTGCAGACTATTGCAGCCATTCTGCCTCTTTTTCGAGCTCATGTCAATGTCGGTTGGTCTGAAGATGTTGCTGCTTCTGATTCATCTCCTTTTGGTTATGGGATTTGTTGCAGAAAACTTGATCCAAAGACTGCTGGTTCCATAGGAGCTCAATCTGAGAGGTGGAGGTACAGGTTCGAAGATGCAGCAGACGCGCGTAAGCACGCAGCCAAAACTGCTGGCGTTGAAGAGTTGAGCAAGGATGTCCGTTCTATCATAGCCTCTCAAGAACAGTCTCAAACTACTGAACAATTTATCGAGGGTTTCAGTGAAGTTCCAATTCAAGTCCTTCATCCAGATGATTGGCAGATTGCTTGGTCTATGCCTTGGAGATTTCAAGACAATATACTTCACACCGAAGCTCTAGCTCTTTGTTGGTCTGTTGAGCATGCTTTGAGAGCGAATAGAAACTTTGGTCGACGCATCCTTTTCCTAAGTGACAATCTTCCCCTCACCCTTGGTGTTTGCAAGGGACGGGCAAAATCCAGCTTTCTCACCAAGCCTTTGAGAAAAATATGCGCTTTGTCTCTTGCCACTGGTTCAAAGTTTCATGTGCGTTGGGTTCCGTCCGAATGGAACGTTGCGGACAAGCCTTCGCGAGCCATTAGTCAGTGGGGCGGTCGCGGTCTAGAAGGCTGGATTACTGACAGGTCAGACCGAGGACCGCGGCGACAGCGGACTGAAGGATATGGTGGAGAGAAGATTGAAAAGACAGAAAAAGGTAATGCAAGAGACCATAGTCCCAGAGGGGTTGACATACCTGGAAGCCCGAAGTGTCAGGCAGTCAACAATAGTGGATTACTCAAAGAGGTTTGCAGAATTCCAAGGTTGGTTGAAGGTTCATCAGATTTGGATCGATTCATCACTGGCGATGGACACTGCACTGATAGAGCTACTCCAAGAAATGTTCGACATTGGGCGAGGAATCAACGACGGGATCAGACTGGTTGCAGCAGTGAAGTTTCATGTTCCTCATTTTTGCACCCAACTGCCCCGATCAAGCCGATCTCTTCGAGGCTGGCATCTAGCAGCCCCACCTCAGCAAAGGATGCCCATCCCCATCGAGGTGCTGATGGCCGTGATTGGTCGGCTCCTGAACCTCAATGCGGTGGAGTTCGCGTTGAGGTTGTTCCTGCAGTTTTCAACATACATGAGACCAGGGGAGTGCAGCCAGTTGTTAGTGAAGCAGTTGGTTCCACCACAAGCAGCCTCAACCCAGGCATTCAAGTTTTGGGCAATTCTGTTGCATCCAGCCGACGAACTGATTCCTGGGAAGACGGGCGTCTTCGACGCCTCAATCATTCTGGACTCAGATTTTTGGATGTTTCCCCACCTTTCAAAACTTCAGCTGGGAAAGAGGCCAAACGACAACCTCTGGTCGAAGTCACATTCAGAACTTCGGGAGCATTTCAACCAAGCGGTAGAATATCTCAGTCTGCAAAAACTGGGTCTCACCCTCTACGCACTGAGGCATGGCGGGGCAACCCACGACGTGTTGTCACGGCGCCGATCGATGTTGGAGGTGAAGCAGCGAGGGAGGTGGAGTTCGGATGTGTCCCTGAAACGGTATGTCAAAGAAGCCAGGCTCCAAACCGAGTTGGCAAAGGTTCCCCAAAGTGTAAAGACCTACGGTCAAGTGATCCTGGAAGGGTTACCAGCTTTTCTCATGAAACCCAGCTTGGCGCCGAAGGCACCAAATGGAATTCGAATGTGACCCATAGGATGCGTCAAAGAGGGAGACAGCACAGAGTTGGCCCTAAGTCTCTTAGCGGTTCCAGTGTTCTCAAGAAGTTGTTTAAAGACGTCTCCCGAAAACACCGTGGGTCTTTTCATGGGGTCTTCCTTGACATTTTTTCTGGTGATGGCAGTGTTGCAAAATTTCTGACCCAAAATGGTTTTCCTGTTATTAGTATTGACATCAATCTTGACCCTCGTTTTGATGTGTTGGACCCCCAAGTTGCTAAAATCATTCTGGGTTGGATTCGTAGCCGTTGTGTTTTAGGTGTTTGGGTTGCTACTCCAAACATCTCATGGAGCCGAGCCCGACATGGGCCCTTAGGTAGCAGTTGGGATCCGATGCGCACCAACAGCCACATTTTTGGCGTACCCAATCTTGGTGTCAATGACCAAGAGAAAGTGCGTATTGGAAACCATACTATGAAGTTCACTGCGCAAATCATCACCAGTTGTGTCCACCAAAGGACTCCTTGTTTTCTGGAAAATCCCAACCATTCCATGATGTGGCTTGCGCCGCCGATCAAACATCTTTGTGCTCATCGTGTTTCTCGCTCCTTTGTTTGTGATTTTTGTCAGTATGGTGCTAGGTGGCGTAAGCGTACTAGAATCCAGTCTTGGTTTGGTTGTGGTGATAGCGATTTATCCCGACAATGTTCTGGCCATAATGGGGTCTGTTCTCGCACTCATAAGCATCATATCATTCTCAAAGGTCAAGACCCCATTAGCAAACAGCTTTGGACCCATCTTGCTCAGCCTTATCCCAAGACCTTTGGAGCTGTGGCAGGCAAAGCCCTTGTCAATAGTTTTCAAAACATGCATACCTTCCATTTGAAGCAAGTTTACGGAAATTGAAGTCCTGGGTCTTCTGTTTTTCTTCGGCCAGTGATTTGCTAACTCACATCATGTCCAGTTGCCTTTGTGACCATGGTGGATGGGATGACAGGCAATGCAGGCAGCGTTCGTTGCTGCTTGTCTTTTTCCTTTGTGATGTCTATTACTGCCTGCAGTGTCCGCCTGTCCCAGAAAAGATCCATCTGGCCGCAGCAACGATTGTGTGATGTTTGTTCTACTGAACGGGATTCACAGATTGAGTGAATGCATGGCCGTTCATATGATGTTTTAACGCTCAAGATCCCAACCCTGTAGTAACCCGCCCTGAGTGGTGGGGGATGACAGGCAACGCAGGCAGCGTTCGTTGCTGCTTGTCTTTTTCCTTTGTGATGTCTATTACTGCCTGCAGTGTCCGCCTGTCCCAGAAAAGATCCATCTGGCCGCAGCAACGATTGTGTGATATATATGAATATCATAGCCCACATTCCACATTTACTCCTGGGGCTTCTCTTTTGGTGCCCATTTTGGTCATGCCTTGCTTGCCATCTTGCCGTGGAAGGACCAACGAAGTCTGGGACTTGGTGATCTTGGATCGGATGGGCCATAAGTAAAGATCCAGGATGAATTTCAAACAATCTTTTGCTTCGAAAAGGAAGTTTAGCCGTTTAGCCATAACAAACTAGACTTTATTAAAAGATATTAAAACACCAAAAAGTGTAACTTTCCAGTTTTTGTTAGAACTTCCCAATTTCAGCGGGGCGTTTTTTTCACTTCCATGGCCTTCAGGTAGAGCAATCAACACTGGCGATTACGCCCCGTGTATTGATCATGGGTCGATGTTGGACCTAAATATAGGCCCCAAGTAAGAATGGGGATATCATCATTCACCAGCCATTGCTAAGAAACAGAAATTATGAATAGCCTGAATATGAAGTATTCATATCCGTCCATTATAGTTGATGATACCGTGGATGGTTGCGAAATCCATCACCAAAATGATGGTTTTTTCAACCCCAAATGGGATGTTTACCACCGATCAACTGCAGGAATTTTTCATCGGGCCAAGGAGGAGATACCAGTCCAGGTGTTTCCAGGATAGAGATATGGATAGAATGTATACCCTCTGGTAAACTAACATAGCTATGGAAAATCACCATTTTTAATGGGACAATCCACTATAAATGGGCCATTTTCCTGCTATGTTAAATTACCAGAGGGTAGATGAGATTGAAATCTCATTCTTGGAAAGCTTTCCAACTGTTCTATCTTGGGGTTGCTACATACCGACCTAAGATCCATGGATCGACTGAAGATACTGGCAATAATTAGCCTGGACATGCTGCTACCCAATCTAAAACTCCACGTACCGTGACTATGCCATGGATACAGGTCAACAAATTAGACTCAAGGACCCAATTTGTTGAAGATCTTTTTTCATTTTGTAATCATCATTATCTATCCTTAAATTTCAGCTTCACCATCCAAAAATGTCTCTTCATGTCCATCCTGGTTGGTGGTTTGGATCATTTTTTATTTTTCCATTCAGTTGGGACTTTCATAATCCCAACTGACGAACTCCATCATTTTTCAGAGGGGTAGGTCAACCACCAACCAGATCACTATTATGACAAAAATCACTATTGACCACCACTAACCACTTTTTTTTATCCCACTATTATATCATTTTTCAAGATGGTTATGGAAACTAATAATAGATGATCTTCCCATTAATAGATGATTTTCCCAGCTATAAACCTCCATTTATCAAGGATTTTCCTCTCATTAAAACGCAATATTTGGATCCTCCAAGCTTGACCCAGGTATTTGTAGGGCACCGAATGAGCCGCTTGCCCGAGGCAGAAAAGCCGAATCGCCGCAGGTGGGGGAACGGATGGATGGATGGCCAAAAATAAGGACGTGGTACTATGTTGGCACTATGGATGGATATGATATGATATGATTTGATTTGATATGATATGATTTGATTTGAACAGATATGATATGATATGATATGTTTTGAGATGATATGGTTTGATATGATTTGATATGACATGATTTGATATGACATGATGTGATACGATATGATTTTGATTTGATATGATTTGATATGATATGATTTGGTATGATATGATTTGGTAAGATTTGGTATGATTTGATATGATTTGATACGATATGATTTTGATTTGATATGATTTGATATGATATGATTTGATATGATATGATTTGGTAAGATTTGGTATGATTTGATATGATTTGATACGATATGATTTGATATGATATATGATATGATATGATATGATTTGATATGATATGATTTGGTATGATTTGATATGATATGTTTTGATATGATATGATTTGGTCTGATTTGATATGATATCATATGTTTTGATATGATTTGATATGATATATGAGTTGATATGATATGATATGATTTGTTACGTTTTGATATGATATGATTTGATTTGTTTTGATATGATATGATTTGATATGATATATGAGTTGATATGATATGATTTGATATGATTTGATATGATATGATTTGATACGATATGACTTTGATTTGGTATGATTTGATATGAAATGATATATATATATATATGAGGTGATATGATATGATTTGATTTGATATGATATGTTTTGGTATGATTTGACATGATATGATATGATTTGTTACGTTTTGATATGATATGATTTGATTTATTTTGATATGATATGATTTGATATGATGATATGGTTTGAATTGATTTGATATGATTTGATTTGGTATGATTTGATTTGATATGATATGATCTGATATGATATGAAATGTTTTGATATGATACGATATTATATGATTTGGTATGAATTGATATGATTTTATATGATATGATAAGATATGGGGGTTTCCTAAAATGGGGGTACCGCAAATTCCCAAGTACCCACGATATTTTCGGATCCATGAAATAAACCAATCCTTCTGGGGTGCCTGAATGTGTGGAAACTTCAATAAATACTGGTTGGTGGTTTGCATTATTTTTCATTTTTCATAATATATGGGATAATCCTTCCCATTGACTTTCATATTTTTCAGAGGGGTAGGTATACCACCAACCAGAATAGATACTGATTGATATAGAACTTGGTATAGCCCATGAAAATGGTGGTTCGCCACGCGGAGTGAATGACTGGCCACATCCGAAGGGCCTGGCGACATGGCTTGGTGTCAGTGGCAAATGGCCTGGCGACACTCAATATCGCCGGTCGATGTGAAGATATTTTACGCCCAGGTAAATTAACATAGACCCTGACAACCTCCATTTATAAGGGATTTTCCATGGCTATGTTAGTCATAACCAGATGGTACCCCCCTAGTAAACTAACATAGACCCTGACAATCACCAATTTTAAATGGAAACTAGTCTTCCAACCCCGATGACTGCCAGGGTCGAACTGTTAATTTACCAGAGGCTACTAATTCTTTCTGGATTGTTCCACTTATTCCTTTTTTCGTTTGGCTGTTCTATGACTATTTTTGTCTGGCCCATGTCTGCCGGTTTCGGTTTGTCTGCACCAGAAATCTTCAAAAAGTGAGGGATCCATAAGAATCCGTGAAAAATCATGTTCCAACATCAACATCCCATCATTTTCCCATCATTTTCCCATCACATTTCTGTGGAAATATCAAACATTAGGCCATCCCATGGCCCTGAGGCGTCGTCGTAAAACCAGCGGTGCCATGGTGCTGCCCTTTGCTGAAAAGGCCGCTCTGAAAATGGAGGTGATGGGTACCTACCATATATAAGGCCTATATAAGGCCTATTTTTTAGGGAATATCCCAGCAAAATATGGCCAGAAATATGGTACAGTACCTCCATTTTAGGATCCTGAAATTCCCATTGATATTATGGTTTATACATGTGTATCCCACTGTTAATAGGGTTTCAACCATCGGTGGTGCAGGATTTCGCAACCAACCACAGTATCAGATATTATGGGATGCTAATCTTCTAAACTCCAAAAAGAAAACTTGTTACACTTCTCGATTTCCAGTGTAGGACGACTAGATCATCCACAAGGACAAATCCAGAAAAAATGGGGGATTTGGGAAACCCTACGAAACATTTTATTGGTATGATGGGTAGACTTTATTTATAATTCAAAAATAGTTCTAAGAAGATCCAACGAGTTATGACTTATGATTCATTAACTTATGATACTCATGAAAGTCGATAGGTGTGGGAGAATCGAATGGGTTTTCAACAACGGTAAGTCATTGAAGCTTAGATAACAAATTCTCAATGGCTACGTTCAGTTTCCGGAGGGTAGAGGAAACATCGGGATTGAAACTGGTGAGTATTTGGCTATAGTCTCGTCAACCACCCGAATTCAAACCAATGACTGTTTCGCATGGTTCTCTATCCCATTTAATTTGTTCCACCCGGTTGAACTTGCAAGATGTCTTGCAAAATATGGGAAGCATCCCCAAACCCGATATTTCTGGCAGGGATCCAGTTTTTCTATTTGACACCACTTGGAGATGTTCAGCATTAGAACACGTTCGTTTATGGCTTCGATTTGCTGAATATATATCCAATTTCAATCGGCCAATCCACCATTTCGGTTGAATCTGCTGGGAAACATATGTGAGAGCAAGGGTTCCAATCCAAACAATGTACCTTCTGGTTATTTGTTACATAGCCATGATGGCCCATAGAAATAGATGGTTCACCTAGCTATAAAATTGTGATTTTCCACGGCTATGTTAAATAACCAGATGGTACTATTGGAAGCTGGATGGTTCAGAAATCCTGCACCACCTTGTTTTTTTTTCAAACCTATAAATTACTCTCTGCTAAACTCACATAGTGAACTGGACAGTCACCATGTCGTTTCTAGGTAAATCAACGACCTGAATGGCAATGTTTAATGTTAGTTTACCAGAGGCTAAATCCTCCATTTTTCCAACGTTTGTTTTTTTTTTAATTACCAGAGGGTAATAAAGAATGCTGGTTGGTGGTTTCGAATATTTTTTTATGACTTTCCATATATTGGGAATCATCATCCCAATTGAATTAATTGACTAAGTTTTTTCAGAGGGGTAGGTCAACCACCAACCAGAATGAGATGTTGACATCCCAACTGCTGCAGTTCCATCAACGCTGCCGCCAGGAAGACTTGACTCAACGGCCAGTCACCTCCCTGCCGAGCTCCACCGGTGGCTTCGAGAGACGCCATGAAAAATGACCAGCTTTTGACGTAAGGAAGGTGATGATATAAAATGATGATTGACAATGATAAACCCCATGGTTTATCATCGTTTTTCATCATTGGCAATTTAGAACATTACTATATATAGATATATGTATTATATATATATAGACTATATATAGATACATATACATACATATGTAGAACATTACTATATATTTAGAACATTACTATATATAGATAGATATATATAGATACATATAATGGTGATAACGCGAATGTGACTCTTACGATTTTGGGGCAAAGGACGGAACTTGCGCATTTTGAGAAAAGTGACCTCGGCCAAGCTCGGCGTTTCTCGAGGTGGTCCCCAGGTGGTTTTTCTGGTGGTCCCTCTGGTTGGCTCTTTTTATTGGGGCCCCCATAGCTATTTATAGCTATTTATAGATATTTATAGTGATTTAATGGGATTTTATAGTGATTCAATGGGATATTAATGGGATTTACCCTCTGGTAATTTAACATAGCTATTGAACATGGCCATAGAAATAGTGGATTTTCCCATTGAACATGGTGATTTTCTATAGTTTTTTGTATGTTTACCAGAGGGTAGATAGGGATGTTTTTGATGCTTGACCCATGGATTTGCCATCTGGTTATGACTAACAGTGACATTCACAGTTTGCCATGGACCATCCACCCATTTTATAGCGAACGGTAAACCATTGAACCATCTATTTCGATTAGGGCCATTGCTTAACCATGTCTATGTAACAGTCATAACCAGAGGGTAGACATCAGGGATCATTTTCAGACACCCCGCTGTGAATTCGCCAATCTGAATGTGATTTGCCTAGCTGAGCGGGGAGCAAAACCACGGCCAAGCGAATATTTGATAGGGATTCGTTTGTTTTTGGTTGCGGGATGTTGTGGGTCAATAGTGGGATACACACCTGAAACCACTTGTTTTTAGATATGTTCAGTGGGAAAGGCTTTCCATTTTGGGTGATCATTTTGACCCATCCCCCCCGTGGAATTCTTCGCGACCACTGGAACTAATTATTCAAAAGTTGACGGCAAAAAGGACAAAAAGGACATTGCCAAGTGGCTCATTTTTAAGCCCAAGTGGCTGAAATTTTAGGGGAACAGCCGTTTTTTTGATGAAAATTGGAAATCTTCAGCCATTTTTCCAAGATCAAATTGATCATTGGCAAAATTTTAGGGAACAGCCATAGGATGATCATTTTCCCAATGAAAATTGGAAATCTTGCCATTTCCGGGGGGTTGTAGTAGCTTCTATACTTCAAGGATCACCCAGCTGATGACAAGGGGGCTAAGCCACTAGCCGCACTGGTTACCCGGCCTGGTAAACATACAAAAAACAATGGAAAATCACCATTTTATAGCTGGGTAAATCAACTATTTCGACTAGGCCATTTTCAATAGCTTTTTGTATGTTTACCAGAGGGTATCTATGTATAAGAGAATTAAAGCTTACTTCTCATACTTCTGAACCAAGAGCTGACCAAATCTGATCATAACCATTGTGCGGCCACAATCTACTTGCAAAATGCATGTCTTAAGTAGATGAGTAGGCAACAAATGCAAAAGATGTCCAAGTGGTTCGAAATGGTTGTTTTGTTTCCTGAACACCAGGCATTATGATGCATTATGGGCATAGTCATAAGTTATCACAAGTAACGAAAATCAATGGATTGGCTTAACTTCCTGGTAATGATCCACTGGCGAACTAGGACAATTTCATCATCCCAGCAACCCCAATTCCAACCCATCCAGCAACCCATCCACCAAGGGAACATGTTACCCTCTGGTAAACATACAAAAAACTATGGAAAATCACTATTTTTAATGGGAAAATCCACTATAAATGGGCCATTTTCAATAGCTATTTTGACATAACCAGAGGGTAACCGGAAAATCCCATGGGTTTTTTGGAATATGCCGAGGCGAGCCGAGTTTGCCAGGCAAAGCCAAGGCGCTTTCTCTCGCGGTTCGAAGAAATCCCATGGGAACGAAACGAGAACTGGTTGAACGCCTGGCAATGAAGAGAGCCATGGAAATGCTGATGTATATCATTAAAAACATCATATATCATATCCATTTATTGATTGATGATCCACTTATCCATTTATGAAATTTATGATTGATGATCCATTTATGATTATTGATCCAAACGATTCATGATTGAAATAACCATAAGGAATGGAGATTTCCTGCAGCTCCAGCTTATTGGCTCAACCATTGGGTACCGACACAGATATTTTGGCGATTTGTGGTGCTCAGCAACGTTTTGCTGCTGTTGGTCTATCCATGGTCTATCCGATTCTATCCTAGTATTTCAAGCAGGTCGATATATTTCTCAAATTTCAAGCATTTATATCATATATCCATTTATCACACTTTGATTTTTCCATGTCCCAGTCCCAAAAACACACCATGTATAGACATGATGCCGGTGTGAGGGACATGCGTTGCGATTCCAACTCAGGCGACAGCAGGCAGTTGGAGCACAGGAATCAGCACACCTTCCTCCATTTCGGAAGACCAGTGCCTTGGAGATGAAGGTAAAAAACATTGGATATAATTAAGTGTTATTCCATAATACTCCATATAAATGAATATAAATACATGCAATTATATATACCATAATATTTCATATATATATATAGATTTGATATAACTTAATAGTTTCCAAACGGATGGGACATGATGGGAATGATGCGACACCAGTGAATTCGATCAAAATCAGCGTTTCAAACATACAGGGACGATTGAACTATAAACGCATTGAGATTTTTTTATCAATCAGAATGATTGAACACGAAGATTCAGGTTGTTGTCCAGGTCAGTAAGTGGTTTATGTGGACTTTTTCCTATTTGTAGTTGATAAGTGGCCGCAAAACCTTTCTTGGGCAATGATTATATCTTATTTTACTACCCTTTATGTATTGGGGACTATCATAACCCATAAAAAATGGGGAATTCCGTTCTTAACCAGTTTTTTCTGGCATGACATAACTTGGGTCCCTCACAGTGCCTCGTTTCATTCTGGACGATCCCAGATGATGTTCATTCATTTTCATGGCAAAAGTACTGATTTTGAGTGATAAATTCACCAAACTATAGCTGGTCAAGATGACCAATCTGTCCAATCCATGTAAAAAGTTGATTTTCCTATTAAAATTATTAAAACCTTCGTTTAGTTCGGGGATTTTTTAAAGCCATGTTTGATGAAACTGGAGGGTATATGATATATTATTAATTATCCCAATTATTATATATCCTAATCATATTATTTTCCCAATTATTATCCCAATTATTATATATCTGGTTGGTGGTTTCAACCATTTTTTATTTTCCATAATATATGGGATAATCCTTCCCATTGATTTTCATATTTTTCAAGATGGTTAAACCATGTTAAAACCACCGACCAGATATATAATAACCATGTATATATATATATGTAAATATTATTATTATTATTATTATATATATATATTATATGCATCCTAATAAAATTATATAATCCCATGATCATCCCATTGTCATCCCATTAACGATTTGGGCAATTTTTGTGGACCCAGGTCCAGCTCCAGTTCGTCCGCGGAGAGCCGGCCCAGCTCAGATTGGTCGAATGACGACTGGATGATGATTTGGGGTAGATCTATGGGGTTTCCATAAATGGGGGATTCCATTAAATAACGATTAATAACAATAACAAGCATTAATAACGAAGGTAATAACCATTAATAAATATGGTAAATTATTAATAAATGGAAATATTCCAAAATGGAACATCCGAAAATCGACTGGATGATTTGGGGGTTTCGGAAACCTCCAAATAGCCCTATTTTAGGGAGGACACCCCCATATGACATAATATGAATTCTTACGAATGACAGTCTGGAATTGTCTCATTTTCCGGGTGGACCTGGCGATAGAGAAGTAATACGAATCTGGAATTGTGATTGGGATGATTGTCTCATGTCACAATTGGCTACCCTCTGGTGAACTAACATAGCAATGGAAAATCACCATTTTATAGCTGGGAAAATCCACTATTTCTATGGCCATTTTCAATTGCAAACTGTTAGTTCACCAGAGGGTATAGTTTGTTGTTTTAATTTTGGAACAATGTTGGGTGTTTTTAGTGTAACGACGTGTAACGACCAAAGCCAGCACTGATTTCGGAATCAAGCTGTTCATCCCAGAGTAATGTGGGTAAAACATGGTAACAACCACCCAGTCAACTGGGAATGGTAACCTAATCCCACCGTCATAAAAATGCTGATGACTGGGGGATGGTTTATGATTGTTTTACCATGATTTACCCACATTACATTATACATCATTATACTAATTTTTACTATTTATTTCTTATGTACTAAGCGACATGTTTCGGATTTATTATCATTAGGCCTGGACTTTAGACTTCAAAAACTGGTGTAGCAACAAACAAGAACTATGTATGCCGGGAAACACATTTTTTTTGATATTTAACCTATCATTATTTAGTGTCGATGTCGATGTCAACAGCAGTTTCTTGAAATCGGGGACTCGGACCATCTGCCGAAACGGTTTGGAGGCCCCATTCTGTGGCGTGCGGGTTTCCACTCGTTTCCATCATGTCTGGGCACTAGTGAACGCCAAAACAGGTGAACAATTGAACCACAGCCGCGGTGTGGCTCAACATGTACCTGCAAAATGTGGGTGAATTGATACAAGGTGGGGCCTCCCAGTAATAAGTTGGTTTATAAATTGATTAATTAAGGTATATCCTCCAGAAAACCCTAGTTTTAACCAAGCTATAAAGGCTACCCGTCGCAACCCGTCACCTTCAGGTTCCTCAGAGTCTTCGTCCAGTGGTGGTGCGCTCGGGGAACCGATCGGCTTGCCCGAACCGACAATGGTGAGTTAACCAAGAAAAAAATGGGTGGTTTATGGTGGTTTAATGGGATTTATAGCTGATGTATAGCTGATTTATAGCTGATTTATAGCTGATTTATAGCTGATTTATTAATCCAGGGTTGACATTAATCAATATAAATCATTCTGTTTTCGATTTTGACGATTTTGCTAAACGACCAGCTTACTACATCTTACTGGGGTAGTACAATTGCAACAGCAGTTTGAATCATTTTGGGGGCAAACCCCTGATTGGAAGACACATCCGGGGTCGACATAAAGGCAATATTCAGAAACGAGTAAGACTTGTAAACCTTTGACCCACACATGTTTTTTTCATCAACATTCTATCAGGTAACGGCAAAGTGGTGGTTTCATGTTTACTCACCAGATAGTTTTGAAGCACCATTGATCCACCAATAAAGCATCCGGACCGCTTTGTAATGAACATATGACATATATTATATATATACATTATATATATACATTATATATATATACATTATATATATATATACATTATATATATATACATTATATATATATATACATGTGGAGGTTTCCTAAAATGGATTTACCCCCAAATCATCCGTTTTAGTAGGATTTTCCATGAAAGAAACCATCCAGCTTGTGGGGATCCCCCATTTGTGGAAACCTCCATATGCATTTGCACATTTTCCCGCCCTCATGATTTGATTTGCACTGATCGATCGAACGATGCTCGTGAGGGGAATTTACTGCCATTTAGTGTACCTTAAAGGGAAGTTAGAGCAACCCAATCTGCAGGGATTATTCAGGCAATCCAGGCATATTGATATTAGCCACAATGTCAACCCTGGATTAATAACCCTCCGAGACTGTTGAATTCGGACCCTTGAAGTAGCAAATCATTACTATCGGGGGTAACCCCTTAATTTATCAAGCAGGGTTTATGAATACGGATTGCATATTGTACATGATCTGATCGTAGTGATTGTCAACTGGATTTACATTAATTTCTGATACCAGTACAGTATTATCAATTTTTTACCTGTTCGTTGTATAATGATACCATTTGTTGTTGCTTGCCGATCTACATCATGGATTAAAGGTACAGAGGGTGGCAGGTTTTCCATAGTGTGAAGATCTCCAATAATTGCTGTTCACCATGGAAAAAACACCACAGTTCATCATATTACCCTCTGGCTATTTAACATAGCTATGGAAAAAGGTCTGTTTATAGAGGATTTATGATGATTTACCTATCAAAAATGGTGATTGTCCAGTTCGCTACGCTAAATAACCAAACGGTAGTTTCTCCATTTTTTTTGGGTCCTACAGTGTAGTCCTACAGGGTGATTCCAACATGGATTTTCGTACTCCACATCTGAATCTTTCGGGGCTTAGGTGTTGTAGTGGTGATTTGAAGCGCCATCAACCCAGGCATTGGTTGTTGAACTATCACTTGTATCACTTACTTTTGTTGGCAGCCTCACTATTCCCCATCTCCGAAATGGTGAAACATGCATTTTCAAGTTGTCCATTCCCATGAATCACTATGACTGTGCCATACATACCCGCTGGTAAACTAACAGTTTGCTATTGAAAATGGTAATTTATAGTGGATTTGCCCAGCTATAACATGGTGGATCTTTCCAGTTTCGCAAACTGTTAGTTTACCAGAGGGTAACCCGCCCCTAAAATCCACTATCAATCCCATTATATCCCATAAAAATCCATTATGAAACCCCCTAAATCCCCGTTCTCCCATGGTGTTTACCATGTATCTCATGATTTGTTGCCATAAATTCTACCATGGTCGTAACATGTCGTACAGTGGGATGACATAAGAAGATCAGCGGCGCCGGAATGCCGGGATGGATTTTTCACTTAAGGTGGTAAGGCAGGTGGCCATTTCAGGAACCTAACTTGAAGATACCCAAAATCTTGGTCTAAAGATGTCTAAAGATGTCTAAAGGCTCAATTTCAGGGGATCTACCATGAAAAAAAAACAACATTTCGATGGTTTTTTTAGAGAGTTGGGGTACTTGAGATGGCCTATTTACTAGGGCACATATATATATAGATATGAAAATATGCTGAAAAATGGATGTTCTTCTCTGAACCATGGGATTTTGGTGGTGTTTCCCTGACATGTTCAACCCATCCATTGCCATCGGCAGTCTCCGACGACGAGATGCAAAAGATCGCCGCCCAGCCGCTGGGACTTTTTCGGAACACGTGGAAACTCCCATCGTTTTTTTTGGGGAATAGCTGAGATACCAGCATGTAAAAGTCCATGAAAATCCATGAAGAAATCCATGAAAATCCCATTTCAATTGGAATAGCGCAGCATTTTTTTCTGGACACCTAAAAATTGATAGGATATCTTTGGGACCATTGAACACCTATAATTCATGGCAGATTTTTGGCTGTGATGTCCTGATGATTTTTGGTTTCCTGAAAGCCCCAATCTGCATGGCATAAATGGCATGTCTTTATTCTTCGGAACACACGTGTGACAGGTGCGTCAACATGCGTTGACATGTTGACATACCCTCTGGTAAAACTGTCATAACTATGGAAAATCACAATTTTTAATGGGACAACTCACAAACAATGGCCATTTTCAATAGCTATGTTAGTTTACCAGAGGGTACGTCAAACAAACATCTTCCACATTTTTTTGTAGGTTCTCTTGAGCATTTTGCAACATTTGACAGCGATTTTGATGCATGTGAACACGTTTTCGTGGTCATGCATGTGGCCAAAATGCATCAGCCAACGGACCCCGAAACGGCGACATTATATGACATTATAGGGATCTGCAAAAACATCTAAACATCTATTTACCCTCTGGTAAACTAACATAACTATAGAAAATCACCATTTTTAATGGGATAATCCACTATAAATGGGGTATTTTCTACAGCTATGTTAGTTTACCAGAGGGTAATTGTAGATTTTATTAATATTTATTACAACAATCCTTCATGATATCCCCTTCATACACCACACATGGCCCCAGGAAAACAGCCCAGCTGGATGTTTCCAGCATGTCAGCTCGGTGAACATGAAGGGCTCCCATCGATTTTGCCCATATGTTTCCCATCATTGTCCCATAATTTCTCATTTTCCCATAGCTTTCTGATATGTTTCCCATACATTTCCCATAATTTCCAATTTTCTCATGAGTTTCCCATGATTGTCCCAGAAATGTCCCACAAACTTCCAAGGATTTTCAGAGAAATCTCAGGCTTCACTTCAACGTACGTCGACAGATGCTGTTCAAAGCTCCCAGTCGGGCTAAGGCTCTGGGGCGGCTCAGACTCGTTTTTTGGTACCCTCTGGTTTTGACTGTTACATAGCCATGGTTTTTCGATGGCCCTAATCGAAATAGATGGTTTACCGTTCGCTATAAAATGGGTGGATTTTCCATGGCTTTTTTATAACCAGATGGTAATTTTTGGGAATCTTCACGGGAATTTTAATGGGATTGGACCATCCAAGGATATTGTTTAAAGGGATTTTTGGCGAGATTTTCGGGAATTTATCAATCTAGAATTGCATATAATGGCTGTTTTTTTGTTTCAGAATTAGATGGTGATAATATGATTATGGGAATATAACCAATGATAATACTGGTTTAATTATAATTATTTACTTATTCACGGAAAAAAAAACCGCAAGCCTAGAAACGGGATGATAATCCCAATTGACCAAAAAAACATCACATGTTTAATACTCAACCAACATCTAGATTTAGTTGTGGTAATTTGTTGTGATTAGCCCTCTGGTATTAAAGGTGGCGATGACAAAAATCCCTATAAATGGAGGCTTTAACGGGACGATATTCGACAAAAAGGGTGGATGTTCCATTGCTACTTAAGTATGTTTGATGACCGGAGGGTATATATATATTAGTTTCAACACTTTGAAACCATCTATTATGAGCAGTGCAGATTCGAGCGCGACTTCACTATTTTTCGGTTTCGATGTGTATCAATGATGGTTTAAATGAGGACGAATCCCAGCAAGACCCACCTTTTCAGGTCATAGTGAGAACCTCACTAGGACGGTTAGATCATAGGACCCATGGGACCGGGGTTTGTTGAGTAACTGAACCCAGGTCGGGTTGCTGAAAAAACATCCCAACAGACCATTAGAGGGGCCACATGGCTTTGAAATGTGGCAGGGTACAAGCAACAAAGAACCGTCAAAGGAGTAAGAAGCGCGGGGAGTAAGAAGCAAAATTTTAGTTTTCGAAAAATTAAGGACCTTCACCAGCAAAAACCTCTGACACTAAGTTGCTGAGTCCAACCCACCCAAGATATAAACGATTCGGATTCCACAAAGGTGTATTGATGATGTACATACCTGGGCCTTTTGCATAAAGAACGAATAGGGCAGAAGGTAGTATATCTTCCCACGACTGTGCTTCCGTGATACTTGCAACCCTACTGAAAGTTGGGATGGAAACTATCATGCAGAGGGAACCAAAACGTACTTTCTACCGGAACCCACTCTATTTTGCATAAGTGCAGGGTTTTTTAGCCATATTTTCAGCAGAATCATAGCCTGGGCCGTTTGCGATATGGATCAAAACACTTGGGACCCTCATGAACAGCTGGCTGTTCAAAATCATTGGCCCCCAAAGATTTGGAGATTTTTCATGGCTGAATACTGAGATTTTCACCAGATACAAATCTGCGACTGGCGACTCAACATCTGGTTTTCAACATAGATATCAACTATAAATATATATATATAAATGGGATATTTTGGGATGATTCTCACATGTTTTTCTTATGATACGTCTTTTCTTATCACATTTATGTTCTTCTCATAGCCTTTTTGGGAATAGTTGTTGCATGTTGGGATGATGATCAGAATGTTCAAGGATATTTGATATATTACACGGTATATAAAACTATACACAACTATATATAACTACATATAACTATATATAACTACATATAACTACATATAACTATATATATATAACTACATATATCTACATATAACTATACAAAATTATATATAAATATATATAACTATATATAACTATATATATCTATATATAACTATATATATAACTACATATAACTATATATAACTACATAAAACTATATATATATAACTACATATAACTACATACAACTATATAAAACTAAATATAACTATATATATAACTATATATAACTATATATAACTATATATAACTATATATAACTATATATAACTATATATAACTATATATATAACTATATTTTTTTTTCTATATATAACTATATATAACTATACATAACTATATATAACTATATATAACTATATATAACTATATATAACTATATATAACTATATATAACTATATATAACTATATATATAACTATATATATATATAACTATATATAACTATATATATAACTATATATATAACTATATATATAACTATATATATAACTATATATATAACTATATATATAACTATATATATAACTATATATATAACTATATATATAACTATATATATAACTATATATAACTATATATATAACTATATATAACTATATATAACTATGTATAACTATATATAACTATATTTAACACTATATAACTATATATATAGCTATATATAGCTATATATAACTATATAACTATATATAACTATATATAACTATGTATAACTATATATAACTATACATAACTATATATAACTATATATATATAACTATATATAACTATATATAACTATATAAAACTATATATAACTATACATGTAACTATATATGTAACTATATATATAACTATATATAACTATATATAACTATATATAACTATATATAACTATATATAACTATATATAACTATATATAACTATGTATAACTATATGTAACTATAAATAACTATATATAACTATATATAACTATATATAACTATATATAACTATATATATAACTATATATGTAACTATATATGTAACTATATATAACTATATATAACTATATATAACTATATATAACTATATATAACTATATATAACTATATATAACTATATATATAACTATATAAAACTATTTATAACTATATATAACTATATATATAACTATATATAACTATATATAACTATATATAACTATATATATAACTATATATAACTATATATATAACTATATATAACTATATATATAACTATATTTTTTTTTTCTATATATAACTATATATAACTATACATAACTATATATAACTATATATAACTATATATAACTATATATAACTATATATAACTATATATAACTATATATATAACTATATATATATAACTATATATAACTATATATATAACTATATATATAACTATATATATAATTATATATATAACTATATATATATAACTATATATATAACTATATATATAACTATATAAAACTATATATAACTATATATAACTATATAAATAACTATATATATAACTATACATATATATATATCTAACTATATATAACTAGATATAATTATATGAAATTATATACAACTATATTTTTCTATATATAACTATATATAACTATATATATAACTATATATAACTATATATCTCTATATATATAGTTATATATATAGAGTTATATATATAGTTATATATATAACTATATATATAACTATATATATATATAACTATATATATAACTATATATATATATAAATATATATAACTATATATATAGCTATATATATAACTATATATATATAGCTATATATATAACTATATATATAGCTATATATATAACTATATATATAGCTATATATATAACTATATATATAGCTATATATATATAACTATATAAATATATATATATATAACTATATAAATATATATATAACTATATATATAACTATATATATAACTATATATATAACTATATATAACTATATATAACTATATATAACTATATATAACTACTCTATATACATATATAAGTATATATAGATACCTATATCATTACATATAGATAACTTTAGAAATACTATATATATATTATAATTACATATATATATATATTTCCATAATTAATATACATAACTATATTTAGAGGGATATTTTGGGATATGGTTCTTCTGTTCAGCGGAGTTGTAACGCCACGCCTTGTAGCCAGCTTCGTTTTCCGCAGGCGGAGCGGCTTGGCGGGTTGCGCGCAAAAAGAGAGTAGCGGTGAAGATGACGACCGGGTCCCAGGGTTTCCAATGGGTTTCCAATGAGACGCCACGGGGATGCTATAGATTGTACTTAAAGATATTTCAAGGGTTTCAACTTTAAGGCTGCGGCATCAACCTTTGGAAGGGTTACATATATCAATGGGAGATCTCCAGGATCCTAAAATGGAGGTACTGTACCATTTTTCAGGCCATATTTTGTGGGGATATTCCCTTACATAGGCCTTACATAGGCCTTATATATGGTACTGTAGGTACCTCCAATCTAGGATCCTGAAATGGCCATTGAATATATATATACACACACACTTATATGTTTGTCAATTTTCATACAGGGGGAACCATCCCAACTTAAACGTGTTGGTGTTTTTTTTTGCATTTTAGCCGGATGGAAAGATTCGACAGTGGAACAGGTTAAGTCCCCTATTCGATATAGGCTTCAGCTCTACTACTACTGTGGATGGGCCAGCGAAATCCTGCACCAGTTGATAGATGGTAAACATCCCATTATTTATAGGGTTTCAACCATCCTTTTGGTGGTGCAGGTACAGGTTTTAGTGAGCTCCTACTATATATCAATTCATTGAAGGGTTTCTCCAATGGTGGTAACGGAAACCCAAAAAATTGGGGTGACGAGGAAAATTTTTGATCTGATGATGCAAAATAGTGGAATCGGGGCTAGCCATTTTCGCAGACCAGATAAGTTTTCAGAGCCAAGTTCCGCATACATTCTGAAGAATGGTCACAATTCTCCGAATATAAAGTTGCCAGAAACATGGATGAAAGAAATATGGGGTTAACATGAATCATTTATAAAATAATCTCCTGTTTGGTTTATGGAATATTATGGACAAATCCCAGGGACCTCGATATGTTTGTTGTTTCTACATTCCTGATATTCACATCCTCGATATGAGTTCGGCTGGAATACCCCTGGTAGCCCAGCTTTGGACCATGGAAGTCTTCACCACGGGGCAGAGGGCCCTGCCTTCGACCCCACAACGCATCAACGGGGGAATGGCAGCTACTGCCGAAGAACCGCCGGCGCGCGCAGCTTTGCCGGTGGACCATCCAATAGGTTTTTTTTCAGATTTTGGGGGATGAACATCTGCTATTTTTGGCTTAGGGCTTTGAAGTTTTGACGAAAATTGCCATGTGATTTCGTCGCAGTTGTGTTTGATGGATAGCTGTGAAGGAGTTTTTTTTTTCCATAAGCAACCCTATGTATTAATTATTATAGATAGATGATATACAGTAATGGTTATAACTATTGATATGAAATACACGTTGGGGTATCCCCCAGCTACTACAGCGGATGGTGAAGGTTAATAACTATCATTACTGATAGTCCATGGCTCAAAGATGTGGTAAGAACATGGTTGGTCACATCCCAAGTGTAGAGGTTTTGAATACCCTTTAAGTCTAGAAGAAATGTTCATGATATACGCCAGGCATTTTTCCCGAGAGCGTCTGAGCGCAGGGTTCTTCCAATAGTGGGGGTCTGTATCTCATCTTCTCATCTTCACACCTTCTCATCTTCACACCTTCTCTCACACCTTCTCATCTTCACATCTTCTCATCTTCACACCTTCTCATCTTCACATCTGCTCATCTTCACATCTGCTCATCTTCACATCTTCTCATCTTCACATCTGCTCATCTTCACATCTTCACATACTCACATCTTCACTTTCTCTCTCTCGCACTCACATCTTCACATACTCACATCTTCTCTCTCTCTCTCTCTCTCCCTCTCTCTCTCTCTCTCCCCCTCTCTCTCTCTCTCTCCTCTTTCCTCTCTCCTTTCTCTCTCTCCTTTCTCTCTCCCTTTTCTCTCTCTCTCGCCTTCTTTATCTTTCTCTCTTTAGGCCGAGGGTGGTGCCGGCAGGGAGTCACGAAACGTCAACCCTTTCGCACGAAATGAGGGTCGATCGTCAAAAACTGAGGAAAAATTGCGAGTTTACTTGTGCCGGAGCAACCCTTTCGCACGAAATGAGGGTCGATCGTCAAAAACTGAGGTAAAATTGCGAGTTTACTTGTGCCGGAGCAACCCTTTCGCACGAAATGAGGGTCGATCGTCAAAAACTGAGGAAAAATTGCGAGTTTACTTGTGCCGGAGCAACCCTTTCGCACGAAATGAGGGTCGATCGTCAAAAACTGAGGAAAAATTGCGATTTTACTTGTGCCGGAGCAACCCTTTCGCACGAAATGAGGGTCGATCGTCAAAAACTGAGGTAAAATTGCGATTTTACTTGTGCCGGACTTGTCTGTGTGTAAAAGCGCCTGTGTGTAAAAAGCGTCTGTGTGTAAAAGCGTCTGTGTGTAAAAGCGTCTGTGTGTAAAAGCGTCTGTGTGTAAAAGTGTCTGTGTGTAAAAGCGTCTGTGTGTAAAAGCTTCTGTGTGTAAAAGCTTCTGTGTGTAAAAGCGTCTGTGTGTAAAAGTCTGTGTGTAAAAGGTCTGTGTGTAAAAGCGTCTGTCTGTGTAAAAGCGTCTGTGTGTAAAAGCGTCTGTGTGTAAAAGCGTCTGTGTGTAAAAGCGTCTGTGTGTAAAAGCGTCTGTGTGTAAAAGCGTCTGTGTGTAAAAGCGTCTGTGTGTAAAAGCGTCTGTGTGTAAAAGCGTCTGTGTGTCTGTGTGTAAAAGCTCTGTGTGCAAAAGCGTCTGTGTGTAAAAGCGTCTGTGTGTAAAAGCGTCTGTGTGTAAAAGCGTCTGTGTGTGTGTGTAACATCTAAATAGATGTAAAACTTCTCTCTTTTTTCTTCCTTTGTCCTCTCCCTTTCTAACTCTTATTACAATGCAGGGGGATGGAGAGGACATATGAGGCTCCATCCAACGAAGCTCCTCATATGATCCTAGGATATCACCAGGGACGCCTGGTGACGTACCTGCCGTTCGGATTTTTCGGAATAGCAAGGGGCCAAGCTTAGAACCCCAACCACCATGATTTTATTCCTTCACGGTTGCCACAATCTGTAGTTTATGCATCCGAAACCTTTCTAACGATCTAGGCTGGTTTGCATGTTTCAGGATTCAGTTCCTGCCGGATCATATAATGATCCATTCTTGTCTAGTGTGATTTCCATGGTGGCTCCGACATGGTGCCATGGAGCCATTTGAGGCAACCCTTTTCAGGGTGAGTGTCGACAGTCTTGAATTCTGAATTCACACATTTTAATTTGGTAATTCATCTAAGAAAATCGCAACAGTTGGCCTTGCGGTTTTGCACCTTTGAAGACGTCCCGCGGCTCCTGTGGTCCCAGGGATCCTAGTGTTTTGCACTCTGTCAAGTGAAGCCATACTGAACATTCAGAAACCTCCGTTTCTTGCAGCAACGTTTGCAGCGAAAGTGCATCAAGTCATGACATATGAATCAGGCAGGCCCACGTCTTGCAGGTGTGGTATTCTTCTTTTTGATGGTTGTCTGGTGAGGTTAAACATTTTGTGCATCTAATTCGATGGAACTTGAAAGCCGTTTTATGCCCTTGTGGCTGACTGGAACACGGGCCTGTTGTGGCACAATTGCACGAACAGTAGGTCTAGGAACTGGGTCCGATTTTTAATTAATTGTTTTGGTTTTGTCTGGCATCAACTAGTTCCCCATTGGTCCCTAATCTTTCCCCGCGTGCCTCTCCGTAACGTGTTGTGGGGTTTAGGTGTGTGCGCTGTTTTTGTCAGGTCCGTTTCGCCGTGTAGGTTGGTTCTGGAGGTCCGTCTGTTCCCCTCCCCCCCCTGCGCTGTTTTGGCCGTCTGCCCGTCGTGTGTCCGCTTTTTTCTTCCTCTTGCCTTTCAGGGTTGACCTGGCTCCGGCCGGGTGTGTGTGTGTGTAACATCTAAATAGATGTAAAACTTCTCTCTTTTTTCTTCCTTTGTCCTCTCCCTTTCTAACTCTTATTACAATGCAGGGGGATGGAGAGGACATATGAGGCTCCATCCAACGAAGCTCCTCATATGATCCTAGGATATCACCAGGGACGCCTGGTGACGTACCTGCCGTTCGGATTTTTCGGAATAGCAAGGGGCCAAGCTTAGAACCCCAACCACCATGATTTTATTCCTTCACGGTTGCCACAATCTGTAGTTTATGCATCCGAAACCTTTCTAACGATCTAGGCTGGTTTGCATGTTTCAGGATTCAGTTCCTGCCGGATCATATAATGATCCATTCTTGTCTAGTGTGTGTGTGTGTGTAAAAGCTTCTGTGTGTAAAAGCCTCTGTGTGCAAAAGCGTTTGTGTGTAAAAGCCTCTGTGTGTAAAAGCGTCTGTGTGTAAAAACGTCTGTGTGTAAAAGCGTCTGTGTGTAAAAGCGTCTGTGTGTAAAAGCGTCTGTGTGTAAAAGCGTCTGTGTGTAAAAACATCTGTGTGTAAAAGCGTCTGTGTGTAAAAGCGTCTGTGTGTAAAAGCTTCTGTGTGTAAAAGCTTCTGTGTGTAAAAGCGTCTGTGTGTAAAAGACTCTGTGTGCAAAAGCGTCTGTGTGCAAAAGCGTCTGTGTGCAAAATCGTCTGTGTGTAAAAGCGCCTGTGTGTAAAAAGCGTCTGTGTGTAAAAGCGTCTGTGTGTAAAAGCGTGTGTGTGTGTGTAACATCTGAACAGATGTAAAACTTCTTTGACTCTAACCGTTTCACATTTGCAGGGAATCTTTTTACATTTGCAGGGGGCATGCGGCCATCATGCAAACGCATGCCAACGAAGCTATGCATGATGGTGGAAGCCGGGGCTGATCACCCTGGTGTACCTGCAACTTTTCGGTTTGAACTGTTGATCAAGCTGTTACACTGCGTTGTTTCGAATCTACACGGTTGCCACAATCTGTATTGCTTGCATCAGAACCTTCCTCAGATTTTCGCCGAAACTATGTCGCCGACAGTATTATGATTTTTTGAATTATTTCGCCGAAACCATGTCGCCGATGTATTTGGATTATTTCATCAAAACCATGTCGCCGATTCATTTATTTATTTTGATGACGGTCTTGGCCATGGAAACCATTCAGGAGAACTTC